TTAACATCGATGGTAGTCATTGTGACATCAGTGGTAGATGGTCGCAAGATAGACATTGTAACATCGACGGTGGACATTGTGAAATTGACGGTGGTCGGCGACAAAGTGGACAGTTTGACATCGGCGGTGGGCGGCAGCTATGATAACATTGACGGTGGACATTGTGACATCGGCGGTGGGCGACGGCAAACTGGACATTGTAGGCGGCTTGCGCGTTTCTCCAAATCTAGCGGCCAGGGTTATTTTGGTCATTCTGGTCATTAAAAAAAGGTTTCCAGTGGTACTGGTCCTACTTTTGGAAATTAGCATTGTTCTAGTACCATATTTGGAATTTTCCCCTAAAATAAGAGTTCAAGTTTTTTATCCCCCAAGTAAGACATCTCCCGCCACATTCTTTGTTTCTCTCCCAATTTTGCCCTCTTATTCCTTTTCACGTAAGACTTCACCATTCATCTCCATCTTTTCCATCATTTTTGTTGAAGGAGAGTGTGTCATGTCTGGAACAACACACGCCCTAACTCCGAGAACCAGAGGTGCTTTTATTTTTCTTACTAAATTCCAACCTCCAGTACTTGATCTTTGATCTATTTACTAAATTAGATAGTTTTTTATCTTTTTCCTTTTTACTCTCTCCGTCCCATTTTATAATGCCTATTTCGATTTACGATGTTTGACTGAAATTATTTTCAAATCATTTTATATGACAAATGTTATAGAGTTAAAAAATAAAAATTACATATCAAAATACTACATCAAAAGAGCTACAAAACTAATAGTGACAACAATATTTTATTTTATCAAATTGCTAACGAAAATAGAGAATGAAAGTAAATAAAGTTTGACCCTGTGAATAGTGAATAAACATTATAATTTAGGACGGAGGGAGTATTATATTTTTCTTTTTTAATTTCTTCATTAGTCCATCCTTTTTTTCTTACGGAGTATCTTTTTTATTGTACATGGAGATATTAACTTCCTCTGTATTTCATTTTTTCTTGTGCGGGCCATTTATCCTTTTGTGTTTAATCACTTTAATTTTAAAGAAATAAAACATAGAAAAAGTACCAAAATATGATATAAATTCCATGTTTTTATTCTTAAAAATGAGTTCACACTGTGATAATATGACACTCTACATAGGCATTTGTCATAATATACATGTTCATGCTCGGTAATGTAAATGTATTTTAACTCATATTTTGGGGATAAAAATATGAAACTTCCATTTTGTTATATTTTCATTTTTTTTACTCCTTTAGAGAAAGTATTAACGTAGGAGCTCCATGTTTTTATTTACAAAATAAGAGTTTGCACTGTGGACATGTGATTCAAGTAATTGTGGTCTCGTGGAACGGAGAGAGTATTATATAAACGGAAAAGATTCAGAGTAGTTAGGACCCAGCAACCCAAAACAGCAAGGAATGAGGAATATTAGATTCCCAGCAAACCCATAACAGCAAAAACAGGCATCAAGGACATACCCCATTTTCCAGCACTAACAGAAAGCTTAAAATAGGGTGGAAAACAGGGGCAATCCAATGCAATGCAGCACATAGCAGGAATGGGTAATGGAGTAACCTGCCACGAAGGGGCCAGGACAACAAAGGATCAATCGTTGGAGGGCGAGAGGTAACGGGTCGAGGCTTCGTGAAGAAACTCAGACCAGGCCTATATTTTGCAACTTTACATTTTCCCTGTGCATCACAATAGCATGCAAAACACACCAAATATATATTCGAACCGGGAATTGGAAAAGCAGTTCCAACCTTACACTTACACTTAAGGTTAGACATATTGTCTCATTAATCAAGCACACTAAAATGTGGGGTGTTACACTTACACATGCATTAATATGAGTAGCATTGCTTGTTTCTTGCGTTTATGCAGAGAATCCTCGGTGAAGAGATCTCCATGAACCAAAAGGAACAACCGGGCAAGCTTCAGCCAATGCCTTGTTCATTTGCTCTATCTGAATTCCAGCGTTGCATATGTTTGCAAGAGATCCCATGTGTTTCATGCCGTACCCGGATAAGGATCCGCAATGTGCCTCAAAAATCCTTACCTGCACTCATCAACAAAAACTATGTGCCTGAGGGAGAGGGAGAGAGAGAGAGAGAGAGAGAGAGAGAGAGAGAGAGAGAGAGAGTAGTTCCACATTGAAAGCATTAATTACCATTTTCTTGAGGCAGTCCCAATCATCAACAATAGGTTGCCCAGCTGGTCGAATGGCTTTTAGCACCTCCGGACCTTTTTCAATGCCAAATAAGAGCTTGCCAACAAGACTCATGCTGTGATCTAAATGCATTCTGTGAGACATGGCTGCAACAAACTCCTTCTGTGCTTCAACCTTCCTAACAGAGTCTTCAGGTGCCTGGAGATACTGTAAAAACATGTAAGGAAGATAAAGTAAGACAAAGGTAAAAATAAACACTTAATCTTGCATCTATTTAAGGAAAGACTATAAGAGACAAACCTTGTACCAAAAATGAAGGAGTTCAGCATCATGTTGGCTTACCACTCTTAAAGGTGACAATAGAGAGTTCTCATCCTCAAATGCAAAGTCGTCATTAGCAGAATTGGTGCCAATATACTAAAATCAAGAACAGTGCAATGAACATTAATCATTTTTATAGCCGGTCCCAAGTCGGATAAAAGAGGAGGGTTGTGCTAGGTCTCAGCAACCAACGTAAAACTTTGTTGAATCTTCATGACATGGATCAAATACGATATTGCGCTAAAGGTAGGTTATAAGCAACACGCTGTATGGCTCGAGTACAGTGTCAAATGAGCTAGGGCCGCTGGATCGGTGTTCGGGTGTAGTGAAAAATAAGCAAGGGTTCCCACGTTTAGGTGAACAGATGTGGGTAAATAACCTAATTCGCAAAGGTAAAGGTAAACAAAAAACTGCTACCGGGTACCTCATGTTTTGTTGTAAGAACTACCAGGTACTCCTATTTTTCAAAATATACTCTCAGGTACCCTGAATTTTAAAAAAACTTGCTAACGAGGGATTTTCCATCCACTCACCGTCAATCCCCTTTATCCGTTAATGCACATCATCATCATCCATCATCCATCATCCATCATCATCATCATCATTACACCACCACCCCCATTTCTCCGTTCTTCCTCTTCTTTTTTTCCCTTTTTTTCTTCTTCTTCTTTCTTCTTCTTCTTCTTCTTCTTCTTCTTCTTCTTCTTCTTCTTCTTCTTCTTCTTCTCCTCCTCAATAAATATTATTATTATTATTATTATTATTATTATTATTATTATTATTTTTATTGTTATTGTTATTATTATTATTACCATTATTGTTATTGTTATTGTTACTGTTATTCTTATTCTTCTAGACCCCCCACCACTCACCCTTCTTGTTGTTGTTGTTGTTGTTGTTGTTGTTGTAAATTTTTTAAAATAAAATTTGGCAAAACGAAAGTGGTAAAATATTTGGTACTCGGCCAATACTATGAACTTATGTTTTGAAAACATCATTTGTTTGCAAATTCATACTCTTCACAGAATCATATACAGTCTACAATCTTATAGAAAGGATTATATTTTTTTATTAGATGCCTTTCTTATAGAAATGAGATTGATGGTTTTTTGTTTACCATTTTTCATTTTACAAAGAAGGGATTACATTTTTGACAAAGACAGCAAAATGTGACTTATTTACAAAAAAGGCATGGTAACTTTTCTACTTTTTTAGATTTTTAGATTTTTAACAGTCAATTTTAAATCATTGATGTTATTTTGAGTTTGATATAATTTTTAATCAAATTTAGATTTAAAGAAATATTCTATTACAGTCTTCATTCTTTATATTTTGAATAAATTATTTTGAATAAATTATCGCACGGGTTAGAATCTAGTAGATAACAGTGGAAGGACGTGGTCGATGTTCAGAGGGTGGGAGATCAGATCATTGTATTAAAGCTGGCAGTAGAAGGACATGCTCTTCATGTGGTTAGTGCCTACGCACCACATGTCTGATCAGAGGAACACCACAAGATAAGGTTTTGGGGAGACCTTGAAGGTGTAATACAAGGTATACCAGTATACCATTAGGAGATAAGGTTCTCTTAAGAGGAGATTTAAACGGACACGTGGGCAAGGATGGAAGTGGGTATGAACAAATCCATGGAGGGCACGGCTTTGGGGTAACGAGTGCATAATGCAAAACCATCTTAGATTTCTCTTCGACCTTCTAGCTTCTTATTGCAAAAACTTATTCTCAAAAGCTAGACAAGCATCTTATGTCTTTTGTACTAATTGCAAAATTATTCCTGGAGAAAGTTTGACCACCCAACACAGAGTGCTAGTTATGGATTTTCATATCCAACGAAAGGTAAGGAGAAGTCGCGAAGAGGGGAACCTAAGGACTATATGGTGGCAGTTGAAGGGTGATAAGCAAGTGAATTTCCAAAGCCGTTTAGTAGAAGAAGCAAAATAGGATAGGCATGGAACTGCAGAAGAGTTATGGTTTGATATGGCACATATTATTAGAAAGGTGGCAAACGAAACCCTTGGAGAAACTAAAAGTACTAATGCAAGAGACAAAGAATCATGGTGGTGAGACACAAGTGTGCAAGAGAAGGTAAAGGTAAATCGGGAACGTTTCAAGGAGTGGTCTTTATGTCGGAATGTGGAAAGTAGGGAAAGGTATAATACCAGCTAAGATGAAGACAAAAGTGGCTACAAGTGAAGCAAAAATGAGAGCGTATGAAGGGTTTTATCAGTCCTTGGGTACGAAAGAAGGGGAAAGATGTATTTACAAGATTACAAAGAGTCGAGAAAGAAAAACGCAGGATTTGGACTTGGTTTCTGATGAAAGCATAAACGACCGGTGGAAGAGCTACTTCAATGATCTGTTTAATGAGGAGCATGTTAATCGCTCATGTTCCGATCGGCTACACATGGGGGAGGACCAAAACTTCAATTATTATTCATGAATTCAAGAAACTAAAGTTAAGGAAACCCTAAGACGAATAAAGAATAACAGAGCAGTGGGCCTATACAACATTCCAATTGAAGTTTGGAAAGGTTTAGGAGGAAAAGACATTTGGTGGCTAATTAAACTTTTTAACGAGATTTTTTAAGATTTAAAAAGATGCCTAACGAATGGAGGAAGAGCATTTTGGTTTCTATTTACAAGAATAACGAAAGGAGGAAGAGCATTTTGGTTTCTATTTACAAGAATAACGAAAAGAGGAAGAGTATTTTGGTTTCTATTTACAAGAATAAGGGACTACAAAGAGATCAAGCTTACAAGTCATACGATGAAGTTATGGGAAAGAGTGGTTGAACGAAGGTTGAGATAAGAGACTTTGGTGTTAAAGAACCAATTTGGTTTTATGCCAGGAAGATTGACTAATATTGACTACAGAGGCTATATACTTGGTGAGAAGAATGGTGGGGAGGTACTAAAGTGAACAGAAAGATCTACACATGGCCTTTATTGATTTGGAAAAGGCATATGACAAGATACCAAGAGAGGTTTTGTAGACAGTGCTAGTGAAAAAAGGAGTAAGGATTGCTTATATTCGTGCGATTTAGGACATTTACGATGGTGCTACAAGAAGCGTGAGAAGTCAAACTAGGATAACAAGGGAATTCTGCATCGGTGTAGGATTACACTAAGGGTCATCGTTAAGCCCATATTTTTTTTACACTAGTATTGGACGTTCTTACCGATCATATCCAAGAATTTGTACCATGGTGCATGCTTTTTGCCGAGTACATCATCCTTTGAATGGGAAGTTGGGTTCGTGGAGACAAGCTTTAGAGTTGCATGGCTTGCGTATAAGTTGCCTTAAAACAGAGTATATGGAGTGCAAGATTGGAAACAAAAGGAGTAACAGTAACATCGAGGTGAAAGTTGAAAAAAATATTATACCACAAGAGATTTAAATATCTTGAGTCTATAATTCAAGACAATGGAGAAATAGAGGATGATGTTAATCACACGATTCAAGCTGGTTGGTCAAAATGGCGAAGTGCTTCGGGCTTTAAATATGACAAAAAATACCTTTAAAACTAAAGGAGAAATTTTACCGTACTGTTATTAGACCAGCTATATTGTATGGGACAGAGTGTTGGGCAGCAAAAGGTGAGCATGAACACAAGATTAGTGTGGCGGAAATGAAGATGCTTCATTGGATGAGCGGTCATACGCGTATGGATAGAATAAGGAATGAAGATATAAGAGCTAAAGTTGGAGTGACACATATTGTACAAAAAAAATGGTAGAAACTCTTCGTGGTTTGGACATGCGGAGAAAAGACCAATAGAACATACCGTGAGAAGGGTTGAACAAATGGTGAATAGGTATGTGATTGGAGGAAAAGGTAGACCTAAGAGGACTTGACAAGCATTGATCAAGGAGATCTTTGCGTGAACCATCTCACAACAAACATGACACATGATAATGCGCAATGGCGTCTTTTGATCCATGTAGCCAACCACATCTAGTGGGATAAGGCTTTGTTGTTGTATCGTGGAAATTGTGGGTTGTATTCGATGAAGCGAATGTTAACATTTTGGTTTTTTGAATGGAAGCATTAACATATAACTACAAGCCAAGAAGACATATTGTCTTTAAATTCGGAGGAATGTGCAAAGAATAATGCTTACTCGTTCATGCAGCTGGTGCGAAGTCTTTGTAGGCCAATTGTGAATTCCACTGTTATCAAAGTAAGAAAAAAATATCACACGTATAAAAGAAATAAAAAGTTTGGGAGCAAGTAGCAAACTAAAGGAAATTTTGTATCCCTAGTGCTATATGAATGAAATGAGATTGTAAATGTTGAGCATACTCCATGCTCTTATTTTTATATTGTTGCTTACCTGTCTTCCATCCCATCAAGATCATATTCTGGAGGAGAACTAGGATTCTCTCTAGGACAATAGGTTGTCGCCGTGGTCGTATAAATATTCAAGTCCTCTGGAAGAAGCCCCTCAAAGATGCTTTTAGACTCACAAGCTTCAAGGTACAAAACCTAGAAATGCAACAAATACAAAAAATTACAAGTGCAACAAAACAAGTATGGACATCATCAAGAAAATCATAATTCTACATAATTACCAAGCTCTTATATGTCCCTAAAGCATGTTTCTTCTTCAAAACATCAATTAGATCATTCACATGCATGTTAGGAAAGGTAGGCATCCCTAAAATGATGCACAAATGGTTAATATCATCAAATCTAGTTGCAAGAGAAAAAATTGGGGCAAGAGGAACAAACTAGACCTCCACCACCAGGGTAGTATATAAAGATATGATCATCTGGACCACTATCTACGACCTTCCCATTGCCTCCAGTTAAAGCGGTTTTGTTCCCGAGGATAGCAGCAAATAAGTTGTTAACCGTAATATTTTCCCTTGTGTAATCCTGACAAATGAAATGCCGTAAAGTTAATGGAAAATGTCTTACACTTCCCTGCCAAAAATTGACTTGACCCTAATTTCTTTTACCCGATACATGATCCAATAATAGTGGCATTAAACAAGAGTTTTGTTGACCGAACACGATGACCAAACTCGAAATGACCCAATAAAAATGAGTCAAACACAACCAAATTCAAACTGCTAATGTAAGGGTTATTCAAAATCATGTACTTTAATATTAAAAATTAAGTAATAAAATTGAAGTTGTGTTTTTATTTTATTCTTATTACTCATTTGAGTGTATAAACTTGTATTTTCATACAAGTTTTTAATGATGTCACATATAACAACAATACCAACCCAGTTCGTAATGACATCACAAAATTATCTTAACTTTTTTCAAAATTAGAATATATTTAATATCCTACTTCATTCATAATATTGTCAATTATATCTAAACAGTGATTAAAATTAAAAATAAAATATTTAACAAATGTATTTCGATATTTCTTATTTGTTAGTGCAAAAAACAAGTGTTGATATAAATTTAAATATTTTAAAAATAAAGCTTATAACCCATTATGTGGACCTGGACCAAGTGACACTAGATAATGAACATGCAATTCTCAACTTGAACTTACATGAACCCAACATGACTGATCTATTTGCCAACTCTACTTACAGTGTATGCTGACAATCATTTAAATTTGTAAATGGAACAACCTTTGGAACTCCTTTATAAACATCATCATTGTGTGGGCTATTAATGATGACTCCATGCCTTGGGCTTTCTTCATTAGAAGCGATGTCGTCAAACATGAAAACGATGATATTTTTCTCTTTTAGTCCGCCTTTTTTCAAGAGTTGATATGCATGATAAATATCAGCCTGCTGATAGCGGATTTCAAAATGAGCCAGAAATCTCAATTCAGATTAAAGTGAAATGATTATCGATATTCGGTTGCATTACCACATAATTAACCATATCGATAAAATCTGAGTCCCCTATTACCCATTTATACATTGTTGCCTAATGTAACATAAGGTGTGCATCTCTTACAAAAGCATGAATCAAACTGCATGCAGTAGCACTAAAGTAACAATATGAAAGTATACAAAATTAAGAATAAATTCCGTTAATGATCCTTATAATATGTGGTTTTGTATATTTAGTCCCCGATTCTAATACCATGTATATTAGATTTGTGATCCTCAATAATTAGTCTTTAGGTCAAATATGACCAAATATTTTTTCATATATAGTCATCAAATATTGATTGTGAAATAGTCTTAAACCCACATATGTAATATATTAAAATTGGTACTAAATATGGAAAACTGCTTATTATAAGGGATCATTTATTAAATTTTCTCCAAAATTAATTACTCCTGAATCTAGGTTTTAAATCTGCACAACTATTGAATATTCATCCATACATACTCAATCCCAAATTAAACGCAACTCTAAAATACCTGGTGCCTGTTATTCCAGTAACCGTTAGATCCAGCAATCAGGACAGCCCATCGCGTGCCAACAGGTTCGTCATTTGGAGAAAAGAACCTCGAAGCTTCCAACGGAAACCGAATAGCGCCTCCAGCTGAATCTTTCCTTCCGTCGGAATTCGTTGCCGCCGAGAGAAGCAGCAGAAAAAGAACGGGCAAAACGGCTTTACCTACGGAGATCGTGAAGAATTGAAGAAAGAATGAAGAATCGGGATTCATGACTTCACCTTCGCTTAAGACGGAATAAGATTGATTTTTTCGGTAACATACGGAATACGGAATACCATAGGTTAACCTAGGATTTATAAAATAAAATGGAGTGATCCTTGGGAGTTTCTATATTTACCGCTTGTTTGGGAGTGATTAACTTTTGGATAAAGTGATTTCCACAAAAGCTCAAAGCAAAAGCACCACATACCTGCTTCTCCGAAACGGTGTTCTGTGTACAAAATAGTTGCAATGAAAAGCAGAAGCTGGCCTGCCAAACAGAATAAAATCACTTTTACTCAAAGCAGAAGCTAAATTATTAAAAGCAACGCACTGCCAAACACCCTCTTAGTCATTTATTATCAAATATTACTCCTATAGTCTTTTTTTTAAGAGTTCATTTCCACAAATGATCCTTTTTTTTGATATTCTGTCTTGTTGGTGTTAATTTAAAGGCTAAAAGTATAATTTGACACCAACATTATGTCTAGTGACGTGTTCTGATATTGGTTAAGCGCATAACACCAAAATAATGAATATGATTGGGGGAAAGGACCAAACTAAGAGTAAAACATATTATGACATCACCAAGGTTCAAATGACATTGAACCTTAATGTCATAGGATGACCCGGGGCCGCTCCGGTGCCCCGTTCATAAAATTGACGGTTCCTACCCCCCCTAACCCCCCCGGTAAACCCCCGGCCCCGACCCCGACCCGAACACACCCCCCCACCCCCTTCAATTGCACCCCACAAGTTGATTTTGACTTTGGAGTCAAATTTTGATGTTAACAAACAATATAAAAGCTTGACGTGTGTTTAAGTGTTTTAGGTACAACAAGAATCCATTAAAATTCGGTTCTCAAGATCGAAGTCGAAACACCAAACTAGCGTAGAATTTAGGTAGAAACCGATGTAAGGATATGATTTTATATACCTATATTCACAAGCTCAAAAGCACTCACAAAATATGTTTAAAACCCTTTTATAATCATTTTCAAACATCCAAAAGGTTTTAAACAAAATTGGAAATGATTTGGACAAAAATGAAAAAATTGTCAAAATGGTCTTAAGGTACCTAGGTACCGTGAGGGGTACCGTGAAGGGTACCGTAAGGTGTACCGTGAGTTAATCCGAGACGGGACCCCCTACCGTATAAACGGGAACCCCCTACCGTATGGACGGGACCCCCCTACCGTGTATTGGTACCGTATATAGGTACCGCCAGAAAGTTTTTGGCCTGAGAAGGTACCTAGCTACCGTACGGGACCTAGCTACCGTGACAGGGTACCGTTACCGTTTGAACACTATTCCTGATTGCTGATTTTTGAATTAATTCAACTCTAATCACCTCCTAACGGCTAATTAACATCTTCCACTATAAATATAGACCTAATACTTCATATTTCTTCAAGAAACCAAGCTCTAAACATCCTTCCTTTATATTCAAAGTGTGTTCATTCTTTTATTAATTATTTTCAATATTTTGGCTATTTCAAGTGCCTTAAATCCCTGATTTTTATACACACACTTTGAGCTTGTGTTTCTAGTTATATACTCTCATATTCATAAGTTTGTATTGTATTTTTGAGAGAGTACAGGGGCGGATTCATAGCTTAATAATTGGGGGCAATGGCCCCCTACTAGTTTTAAGTTTTTGTTTATCATGTACTTTAATTTTTTAATTTTTTTAGAATTATGTAATATATGACCCCAACTAAAAATATTAGAAACCCTAATAAAAACTATTAGAGGCCTCAATTAATAGAATTAACTACATTAAGTAAGAAAAAACGGAGAGAAATTAAATATTTAGATATTAAAAAAAATATATTTTTAAAGTGAAATATTTTAAAATGCAAAGATAAATTCTAAAGTATTACACTAAAAATATACGGAGTGATAATTAAACTAATTTATAATATTGGCATGAAAAAAATTTATTTATTACTCCGTATTATTTTACTATTTGAATAACTATTTAAGGGTAAATTCATTTTTTAAAGTCTTGCATTCCATGTATAAAAAAAATTGGAAAGCTGTACAAGAACACTCGAAAGGTGACCCCTACTCTTTAATATCCTGGATCCGCCACTGAGAGAGTATAATCTCCTTCTACACCGGCTAAATTTTGTTCTTCATTTTTATATTCTAGCCGTTGTGTAAAATCCTCTTTTGTGTTTTTCATACACACCTTCTTACGGTCGAGAATAGCCGTTAAATTATCACGTTGTAACGGTTAAGGATAGCTGTATAAATCCTTGGGTAAAGGTTCAAGGATAGCCTTTGAAATACTTGGGGGAACGATACGAGATAGCCGTTGTAAAATCTCGGAGTGAATCCTATTGGCAAGGGTTGTTTGCCAAACTAGTGCGGTGCTTTGACGGAGTTCAAGAGACCGAGACTTAGTGGATTTGGAAATCCTTAAGGAGGAGCCTTAAGGTACTGGAGTAGGGAGTTCCCGAACCAGTATAAAATTAGTGTGCATTTACTTTATGCTTTTATTTTTGCGTTTTACTTATTGCTTCCGCATTTGCCAACACCGTTTTTATAAAACTCCAAAAAGATTTTTAAACGCCTTATTCACCCCCCCTCTAAGGCGTGGGCACAACGACTAAACCAAATAACAACTGCAGCGTACTCAATTCTTATTATCTGACGTTGATGTCGTCTGTATACTAATTTCGTCATGCATTGTTTATTTAGTTCGTACTAACATCGGTCTTGACGAAATAACTACTTGAAGCACCGCCGCTTCATCGTACTAACTCCGGTGTCGCATAACTACTCGAAGCATCGTTGCTTTATCGAACTGACATCGCTCGTGTTACAATAATTATTCGCGCAAAGTTTAATCACTATAACACCGAGCTCCTCGGTAAAGATAATAATTTTTTGAGCACGGCATAGGCCGGTCAAAAAAAATGTACAAATTATTTTTTGCAGGAAAAACTTTTGATTCAAGAAATTAGAGAATTAATGAAGACTCGGAGGATTAGCAACAATATCAACCGGTCAAGAATCCAAAGTACGAAGATCGAAGATAGCACTCGGAGGACTTGTTTACTTTTTCAAGTTGATGATTTTCACAACTTAAAAAAGTGGAGGACTTATTGATGGGAAATAATACGTGGCTCGGCCCACATTTCCCAATTATTTTACGAATAACAAACAAACTGGGCCTGTTTAATAAAATGGAGGAATAATCGAATATTCCTCCATAGATGCTCCAGCTACCCCTATAAAAGAAGGGCTCCCCCTCTAGGTTAAGGAGGCCAAACTCACTCTCTTCCCTGCCCATTATACTTTCTCTCTCTAGAGTTTTATATATTTTCTTCTTAAAGATCTTGTAGCTCCACCATTAATGGCTTCCGAGCCCGATTCTTGTACCGTGTACACACCCCCGATATTAATAAAAATCCCCCGTTGGCAAGGTACCGCCAAAAAAAGCCCGTGGTTTTCTCCCGATTTGGGTTTCCACGTAAAAATCCCCGTGTTTATATTTTGGTGTGTTTCTTAGACTAGTTTATCGTTTTTACCGGTTAAAAACGATATACCGGTCGATAATTTACACCATCACAAATTATAAGATAAAATGGATTAAAGAAGTGTATTGGATAGTGTGTAAAAAGATAGTGGACAAATACTCTGAGACGAAGGGAGTATATATTAATAACATTTTTGGATCAATGCACATAAGATTTCTTTCATGACTCAATTTTCCCTATTACATAAAGTATTTTTTCAATATACGTTTTTTCTTTATTTTCTTTTCTATTTTTTTATTTTATTTTAATTTTGATTAAAATAAAAGAAACAGTATAAAATTAATGATTAGAAAATGAGAAATGAACTTTAGTACAAAAATAGAATATTTCATTGGTTTTCTATCATGAAAATGAAACAGTGAAGACATTTTTGGACAAAAAACGATAAGTGTTTAATTTGAGAAAAAAGAAGTGTACATTAATTCTTGTTATTTAACTGATTTTTATTGCAAACACAAAAAATATTATTATTAAAACATTATTTAAAAATTAAAAAGAAAAAAGCATTTATGAACAAAATAGTAAAAAAACAACAAGGAAAAGAGAGGGCATCTGTGCTAATTTCAAAACCATTGAGGGCAGTAAAGTAATTCACATTGATGGAAAATAATACGTGGTTCGACCCATATTTCTCATTTATTTATGAAGAATAATCAAATCGGTCCTGTTTAGTAAAATGAAGAAATAAGAGAATATTTTCCGAATATGCTTCCCCTCCTTCCTTATAAAAAGAGGGTTTGCCTTCAAATCTTCAATGTTGAGGAGGTCAACTTTTACACTCTCCCCTGCCCACTTCCTTCATCTCTCTAGAATTCTTGTAATTTATTTCTTCAAAGAAGCTTCAAGCTTCCATTAATGGCTTCCGAGCCCAAATCATGTACCTTATACAACCCTCGGTATTAATAAAAATTTCTTGTTGGCAAGGTACCGCCAAAAAAGGTTCGTGATTTTCTCCCAATTTGGGTTTCCACATCAAAATCTTTGTTTTTATATTTTGGTGTATTTTTTAGACTAGTTTATCGTTTTTGCCCTACAAAAAATGATATACCGACAGATAATTTAATTTACACCATCACGCATTATATTTGAAGGATATTTTAGTCTAGTTAGACATTGACGTAGCAATATCAAAACAATGAAAGACAACTGCATAAGTTTTGAAACCATACATGGTAACGATGCCCATTTACCAAACCACGATGGGGTCATGATATGGTGCAATAACCTCAAAATGAAATAGTTCTTTTGATGTTACAAACCGTCATACTATTATCGAGAGTACTTTATCGTAACGCTCTACCATCATTTACAATGATCCAAAATCCGCCATATTAGCATTCCAATAACTTTCCGCCCCGCCCAAAAATTCTAGGCAGAAACACCAAAGTAGAACTAAAACATTGAATATATACCAAAATAAGACTTCCATGTTTTTATTCCCGAAATAAGACTTACATTACGAAACATGCTCATGTACATTGTCAAAAAAGTATAGTAATGTGTACATGTCACATTACCACAGTGCAAAGTCCTATTTTGGGAAAAAATATGAAAATCCTATATTGATACTTTTCTCTATGTTTTAGTCATATTTAAGGTGATTTCTAAAAGTTCTACAATGATATCATCATGAAAACCATCTCTCCGTTTCTTTTACAGTATTTATCATTTTAATTCAAAACTTAACTTATTAATAAATTCAAAGCTTATATAATATAAATATTTATTTTTCAATAAAAGTTGATAATTAATAATAAATAAAATAAAAGTTAACAAAAATTAAAAAGATTAACTTTAACAAAATATTAATTATTGAAATTAAAAAATGAAATAAAACAAGTACAAGAACAAAACGGATTAGAAGAAAACGAAAAAATATCGGCCAAGAATCTTAATCGAAAGAAAAAGAAAAAAAAGTCTAGGAAGAAGTAAAAGACCACGGGAGAAGATTAGAAGAAGAAAAAAAAATGAGGGGTGGCAAACCACCTGCTGTGGGCGGTCGCCACGAAATTCAGTTGCAAATCAAGGGCGGCTTTGCGTCGCAACGTGCGGTGTGGCAAAGTTTTTGCAGTGGCATGCAAGTCATGATTTGGGCTCGGAACCCGATCTTTTTTCGCTTATTACTCACTTTGAGCACAATCAAGTAACTCTCCAAACAGATTTGATAATATTTTTACTCTATAACTTTATATTTTCTTCATAGCCTGTTATTTCTAAGTTTAACAATTGATGTGGTATTCTTCCATAGCTTATTCGCTCATACAATATGCACATTACTTTATTAGGCCGGGTTGACAGAATGTTTTATTTTCATTTCCTACATGAAGAATGATTTGGATGTTATATTGCTTGGGGATTTTATTTAATCAAATGCTCAAGACTCCCTGCAATACTGACATTATTTCACAGACGTTCCTTTGAATATGTAACTATGCTTGGCTTCTTTCAATGCCTATTGGGACAAATATGTTCCATCAGCGAGGGTCAAGCTGACAGTCCATTTGAAGGTGGAATCATCATCCACCAGATTATCCCTTCGAGCAACCTAAGGTTGTCAGAATGTGATTTAACTCGAAAGTTCAGTTTGATTCCACCATAATCTGTTTATGTTGTTCTGTCTTTATTTATGTTGTTCTGTCTTTATTTCACTTCTATATGGATTTCAAATTTTTATGTTCTTTGTGTTTTGATATTTTATTTTATGAACGATGCCTCCATTCCATTTGAGAATTCATGAACGATGACTCCATTCTATTAGAGTTTTAGGTTAAGTAAATTGAGAATTCATGAACAATTTTAAACATTAAAGTGAATCTTATATAATATTTAGGAGGGAAAGGTGTAGACCTAGGAAGACTTGGAAGAAGGTGATTAGGTAGGACTTTGGGCTTCATGCCCTTACTCAGGATATGACCTTAGATATGAGTGTTTGGAGAGCTAACATTAGAGTAGCTGGGTAGGTGCATGAGCATAGGGGGTCCTTCATCTTTGGAGAGCTAGGGTTAGAGCTACGAAGTAGTTTTTTGTTATTACATAGTTGTATGAGCATTCATAGTTATCCCCTTCATCGTTGTTGCCCAAACCCGGCATCACCCTTTTCTACCCCCCTCCTTTTGCCAACTGAACAACGCTCCCACTTTAGTTTTCTTTGCAGGCTCTAAGGTTGGCTGATGAGGTTCAACACATCATCAAAAAGTTTAATGGGGACCGTGCTACAGTGCTAGTATTAGAAATTGGGACCGTGATACAGTGCACCCACCCATGCCTCCTTTGCTGCCTCCCTATTTAAGGTATTTTTTTTACCTTTTCTCCTTCTTTTTTTTCTTTTTTTTCTCCTTTCCTCTACGTTGCTCTGGCTCTGCTCTTCCACGGCAGCGACCCGCTCTCTTCTCCCTTTTCTGCGCTCTCCTTCTTACAAGCCGGCAGGTAATATCTTCTTTTTCTTATCTTCCTCTTCATATCTCTGATGCGCCAACCCCTGTAGCACGACAATTCCTCTGTCAATCTCTTCTCTTCATTCCATTTTTAGTCAATTTCTATGGCAATAATTTTTTGAATTTTTGTAGAGTACATAAGATATTTGGTGATTATGGACTTACAAACATCTATTGTTACACATGTTGAGAATGAGCAACCACATGATTTTGGTGGTGAAGAAGAAGACCTAGTTTTATATGAGTTGCAGCCCAGTTGTAAGTGTTGATATTTAGACCCCATTCTATATTCATTTGAAGTAGTGAAAAAAACTGTTTTGTTTTCGTGTTACAGAGATTAAAGTTCTGTGAATCTAGGGTTTGTCCTTGTCACAGATGCTAATTATCTGTATGCACTCTGCATTTGGTGTATTATTGTTTTCTTCATAGTCAGGTAATATCTTTGCATCTTTCAAATTTGATCAAGTTCACATATAACTTCTATTTAAGTCCCTTCATTATGAATGTATTGAAAACATTCTGGTGGAAATACAGGGCACCATGAAGATAATTTGTTAAGAAAGCTACAAAAACGTTTTGTTAAAATTTTTCTCCATGCAAGTGGTAATATAGCTGCAAGATTCCTGTTTGATCAGGTAGTAATCCCTAACAAGTTCTTATAAATCTATTATAAATGACTACATCATATTGCTTTTATTCTCTAAGCTCTATCCTTATTCCAGCAACTTATTGATGCCTTCCGAAAAATACCTAAAGCTGGTTGGAATGCAAAAGAAAGGTAACACTGATCTTTATTTGATTCTAGCCATTTCCTTATGGTATACTCCCTCCGTCCCTCCTCATAGATATTCCCATTACCCCTTTTTATTTGTCCGCCATAGATCTTCTCGTTACATGTTTTAACACACAAAATACCCCTCTTCTATTTCTCTTTCTTTTTTTCCTCCATCTTTCGTCATCTAGATCTGTGATGGGTAAGGGCAGTGGCGGTGATTGCAGGGCTAAGGACGGCGGTGGCGATGGTGGAATGAAGATGGCGGCGACGATTGTGGGGATGAAGGCGGCGGCGGCGATGGTGAGTCTAGATCTATATATCTTCTCTTCTTCTCTCTCCCCCTTCTTTTTCTTCCATCTATGTTCTAGATCTAGACCATGATCACGGCGATGGTGAGACCGGAGGCAGTGGTGGGGTTGACGATGATTGTGAGGACTAGGGTGATGGTGGCATGAAAGTGGGGTGGCAGTGGTAGTAGCAGCGGCGGTGGTGGGGGAGGTTATGTGCGGTGGTAACTGGTAACAAAGCAATAACAGATCGGGTGAATTGCTCAGAGGCAGAGCAAGTAGGGACATATTGGGAAAGTCAAGAGTCTTTTTAGCACTCCTAAAAAACCGTGAAAAGTCAAATTGAGAACATCTTACATGGATGTAGTCATGTGACTTTTCTTTTTAAGTTTATGATATGTCTTCTTGATGACCATGTTCAAACTGCTCGCATAAATCCCTCCAATTTACCATAGATAGATCATATAGGAACTCTAAAGGAGTAACTTATGATAATATGACATTTGCAGTGTTTTTGCTTCAGAAGGTCTGCTGTCACATTCACCTTTTTTTACTTTTGGCATGACCCGGGGGCCGTAACGGTTGTACTCGTATAAGACTTGTGCATGTCGCGGGGGGGGGGGGGGTTATCATTCACCTCTTGTACTAATGCATATATTTATTATAATAAAGGAAAATGTAAGAATCTGCGCATACTTTAGTGGATCACTATTGTGAAAGACTATTTCCTTTGTTAGCCTTAGTTCGCTTTCGCAACTTTTTTTCTCTTACTCGAGCTGTGGTCTCTTGGAAACAACCTCTCTAATTTCGAGTAGGGGTAAGGTTTGTGTACACACACCCTCCCTAGTGGGATCCAACTGGATTGTTGTATTGTGAAAGACTAAAAGTAATTTACTTTTTGTTTTACCTTATTTACATGTGTATCATACTATTATGAATAAATTATAAATTGTATTTCACACTATGTTCGAATGAAGTAGGGAAGATGTAAGTTTGACAGAAGGAAGTAGGCCATCTGGGATACTTCAAGTGGTTGGAAGGGAGATGAATTCGTGTCACACATTTTAGATTCTTAGGGATTTGAATTGATTAGTTTACTGGAAATAAAGGAGTGAAGTGTTCCCTAATATTAGACTGCATGGAGTTTTTTATATTATTTAAATTGGGTAAAATCCCATGGGCTTACACTTCCCACCTTCAAAGCATTCACTTCATTTCAAATGTTTCAGGGCTTGCATTTGCCCCCATGATGATCTTTTAATTGATTGTAGACTTATAGTGTATTGAGATGGTTAAAGAATCAAATGTATATAGCGTCAACTTCAACTTAGACGTGCTTATGTATTATTAATTTTTGTAGATTGTGGATGTTTCCGCTGTCATCATTGTCATCAGCAGAAAAAGGCATTAATGAAATTTCTAGCTTAAATGTGGAGGTGTGTTATATGCATAATACACTTTGATTTCATTTCTCCAAATAAACAATGCCAGCTTGTTGCTCCCTCTGTCCCACTATGTTTCTCCCTTCTTTGTTCAACCTAAAATGCTTGTCCCTTACCATATTATGTCATTTTATGAGGCTCAGATTATCCACACATCACAATTTCAATCACAAAATTCCACTTTCTTAATTTGTGTGCCATATTCCCTCATCCCAAACTTAATGGGACAAAGGGAGTATTGTTTTCCATCTGAGCGGTGGTTCAAATTGATTTGAAGTGCATCCTATTTTTTCAAAACATGAGATTAGTATCTTTTATGTAGATTGAGAGCTTAGATCCGTTGGTGCGGCGTGGTATTGCTGCAGCCAATGAAGTTTGTGATATTCGAGGCAAATTAGTTATCCTGGTTCTTTCTAATATGCAGTGGTTAGCTCATATTGAAATGCTTGTTGTGAAGGTTACTATGTTTTGATGTAATTGCTAGGCTTTCTTCTCAAACTTCCCCTCTTTAGTCTTTACCACCATGTCCTTTCATTCTGTCTTTCCAGTTTGTTCTCTGATCCCCAGGTTTACTAGCAACAACATCTCTACCTTTTGGGTAGAGGTAAGTTCAGTACCCGTCTACCCTCATGTGACCCCGCTTCTGGCCGTTGTGGGATTTATTGGGTTGTTGTTTGTATTGATGATGATGATGCTCTCATTTCAACCTTGAGACTTTGCAACCTTGATCTAATTCATGTATTGTCTGAGATTTTGTTGCTGTTGCTGCTGCTTTCGATGATGAATTCTTTTCAAACCTTGTGACATAGCAACCTTAATCTCACTCCTTGTACTGTCTAACATGGATGCAAGTGCTCTTCTGTAAAAGTAGATGCTCTAGGGTTTGGGCTTAGTTCAGTTAAGTATAGGGATTTGTCATTGTATACCAGTCTATTCTATTCTATTCATGTTGGCTGCTTTGTTTTGTTTTTTGGCCCAAGATCGCTATGAATACATTCCTGAAAGCATTGAAAAAAAGCTAATGCCTTTTCAGCGCGATGGTGTACGGTAAGTTTAAGTTTTTCTTATGTATGTATTGGTTTATGATATATTTTTGAATTTGAATTAGTTCAATTATCAATTGAATGCATGAGAACTAAGTGTTAATCCTCCCAGATTTGCCTTGTAATATGGTGCCCGTGTCTTTTTAGCTGATGAAATGGGACTTGGAAAGACACTTCAAGTGGTACTTAAACAAAAACTACATTCCCACATTGTAGTTAAGCCACATTGTAGCTTTGAAGTGGGCTAATTGGGCAGAGAGCATGAAAGGAATTGTATAAGTAGATCACGTGTTCTTTGTAGTGAGCCAGTGAGGTCAAGGCTGTACTGGAATGGTGTTAAAATCCATAACGGTTCAAACGTTATGTTTGTGGCATATTGAAATCGATTATATATATTTGTGTAGTCCATGTTACTTGGTGTAGTTATATGCACCGGATTGTGGGAAAATGTTTAATACCACCTTTAACTCTACTTGTAATCGGCCTGGCCGAACAAATATTAACCTAGCTTTTGTACATGATACATTGCATTGTGTATGAATCAACATACAATTAACTGAATTGGTACACTTGATATTTTCCTTGATTTTGCACCTCTTTTCTTTTGTTATCATATCCCTTCACCTCTTTTGTTTGATGGCATCAAAAGCAGAAAATTGTTTAAACAAGCAGAAAAATGATGTATGCAGAAACCTAAATGTTTGACGTGTTCTTGTATTATGTCTTTGGAAAATCCAGTGCCTAGGTTAGTAGCTTTTGTTATCATATCCCTTCACTAGACATTCGCTTTTCTATTGCAATCTATTCTCCATTTGAACATTTTTTGCTTCTACTGTGGGTAACTGTCAATTTTATGTTTTCCTTCCGAAATAAGGTTCTACAATTGACCGAACACAATTATTAAGAGGTGAAATTGTGTGGTTGAATTTTGGGTGGAAGTGAGAAATTGTAAGACCCACACATTTCCTTCTCCAAAAGGGATGTGGATCCTTTTTTTTGAGACAAACAAAAAAGAAAATGTGGATACTTTTTATGGGATGGAGGGAGTGTTAAGTGTTACTTGGTGTGCACATGTCAAAACCGTTCCCTATTATTATAAGCAGATCTATCAAAGTTGTGCTCTTTGCTGCAGGCCATTGCTGTAAGTTGTTGTATCCGTGAATCATGGCCTGTTCCTATTATTACTCCATCTTCCTTGCGTTTGCATTGGGCTTCTGTAAGTAATGTCAATGACTCAATATCAATGTATCTCTTTCTTTATATTTATACCCGATGGTGGACAGTTTCAGCGGGATAAGAGTCACATTAAGTGTTTCAAGTGCAATGAGTTAGGACATTTTTTGAACGAATGTCCAAAATGGGATCAAAAGGAAGACATTGCAAATTTGATTGAAGATGATGATGAACCAACGTTACTGTGAAGATTGGTGTGAACAAACAACGATTAGGGGGGTGATTGTTAGATTTAATCGTATTGTTTAATTCCTGGCCATAAGTTAGTTAGTTTAGATTTAAATTCTAAAAATAAAAGGGGCAGTTTTTGGGTAGTTATTTCTGGAAGTTATAGGTAGTTATTTCTAGAAGTTGTATTAGTTAGTAATAGATGTGTTGATTAGTACCAATAGTTGTGTTGGTTGCTGTCTATAAATACTCCAGGAACATAGAATTCCTAAATGTAGTTCACAATAAACAAAATCAGAATTTTATTCTGCAAAAAAAAAAAAATACCCGATGCACACAGCTTTAACTAATTCTTGCAGATGATTCAACAGTGGCTTGATATTTCACCTTCTGATATACTTGTACATTTCTGTGCTATGTTCTAAACATAAGCATATAACTTAATGCTCACAATGATTAATCTTAGTGCGTTATGGTTTGACCATCTCAACACTATGTGACTATCATTTGTTCACTCAACAAGGCAGTTATTTCATGTTTTTCCTTTTCCATTTTTCTTTCTCCCTAGATCTGACTCTCTGTGATATTAAAGCATCTGAACAAAGTAGGCATTGAAAAGATTCTAAAGTTCTGACGATGATATATCTCTTTTTAAAATTGTGTTTTAGTTAAAAATCTTTAGTCAATAGAACACCTAAGAGTGGGGGCAAAGTAGTGGTTTTGCTGTCCTGATGAGCCGGTATTTTATAAGATTTTCAACTGCATGGAGATTTGAGCTCTTTTCTTGCATTTTTATAAAGTTGTCCAGTTTTGACTTTTGAGAGGTTTAGTTGTTGCTTATGACTATAGTGTTAAGGTGATGGCCAACTGTTATATCTTGCTTTTATTGGCAGTAGCCAGTTGGATTGTGTATAGTCTCACCATATATTTAATGCTTTCTGCTGTATAACAACAACCCAGTAGAGACCCCCATTGCGTCTGAAGTTGCATTGATTGACTAACTGCTACTTCATTAGTTACATAAGTGGAAACAATTTAGAGATCCATTTTGCTTAATTCTATCACACCCAAAGCCAAAAGATAGTGAATTTTTGCCTCCATCATAGATGATGGAAAGTAATGCTTTCTGCTGTCTTTCCACCAAATGTTTTTCATCTGCATCAAATGTGGTATTTTGGATATGAATTTTTGTCACCTATTCTTGCTACTAAATTTCTATTCAACCCATGGGCAGGTGGTTTTATCCCAATCAAGTGGTTCAAATAGGGCAGGATTCAAAGTGGTGCCATCTAATGCAAAGAGATCTATCCAACTTGATGGTCTCTTTAATATAATTTCCTATGACATTGTTCCTAAGTTAAAGGATACCTTAATGGCATCAGAATTCAAGGTTTGGTTCTGTATCACTTCTGCTGTCAGATTAGTATTAAGGTTGATTATTGACCTAGGTACGGGAATTACAATGAAGGCTGATGAGTTGTAGTTGATTAGTGCACATTAGTTGGAATTCTTTACCAACTGTGCATTATTTAACTATTAGGAGCATATTGCTCCGTGATTTAGAGGAGCGGGTGGCTCTTTGTCCAGGCAGACTTAGCCTCTATCTATTTTCTGTTTTCGGTCTTTAGGAAGTAAATTTAGACTTTGTTTTTGTAACACCCCGGCTCTACGGGTTGGAAGTGACTACTCATAAGCGCCCTGAAAACTTCCCACTGGGTATTACAGTTTTACTTCTTTAAAATCAGTGGTAAACATTGGCAATGTTCTGAAAAAGTAACTGAAAGTTGAAAATCGGTCCGGGCGTCGACCCGGACAAGCAGCTAGGTTAAGGGTAACCGGTCGAACTGGTGAACTCGGGTCAATGACCCGGTCAACTATATTTAAAATAAAAACATTTTATACTATACTAATATAGATATCTTTAGTTAATAAATGAATGTAAATTTGTGTTCTTTCTCTTCTCAATCTAGTTTGCAATGTTATTGTTCATATATTCTTTCATACTTTCTATTTTTATTATAATTAGTAGATATTTCTTGATTTTTTGTAGATTATAATGTGTTTAGGCATAAATTATTTATTATTAATTTAAGATAATAAAACAGATAATGTTTATTTTTTTCTTTGAACTATCAACTATTTTGAAAGTACATAAAATAAATACACTCCACAAACATTTTATTTTACAAATTGTTACAAGTTTTTTTAAAATTTATGCAACTCATATATCATAGAGACAATTTGTACTCTATTTCAAAGATTGGGTGACAAGGTGTTTAGTACGAGTAGTATATTGAGGGCTTGAGTATTGGTGAGTTAAGTGTTAGTTCTTCGGTTCGAATCCCGTTCTCAACATTTTATTTTGTAAATAGACAACTTAAGGAAAAAAGGTTTTGGTCCAAACCCGTGGCCCAGATGTTTTGACCCGGTCCGCTGGATCCATTGCGTTTTCTGCGTTGGGGCGGGTCAATGCAATGCCGGGTTGAAGTGTTGAATTGGACCGGATTGCTATGCATTTCCTGGTCTTACCAGTCGCCCGGCTGATCATGTCCAGTTCTAATAACATTACTTCCTGCCAAACGGGCTTTGTATTTTTTTCCAAAACCCGTCCAAACATGGCCAAATTTTATTTACCTTACTACAAAAACTGGGTTGGTGTTGTTGTTGTAGAAAACAAATGCTCCATAAATTCACGCTATCACTTGTTCCATGTTCAATAAGTTTAATGATGACAAATTGAAACCAAGTTTAATGACATAGGCTATGTTGGCAACACAAGATGTACATATGACCAGAGTAAATTTATTTGACTGGAAGTCTCCTTTTAGGTGTGTTATGTAAACATCTTTTCAGCTAACTTTAGGGGGTGTCATTCGTAAGAGTTGGTTAGAATAATTAGAGCATATTATGGAAGATAAGTAATAGTCCTGCCTGATTAGGGCAGCTTTCTTGGAATTTTTGACCAAACAATTTCTGTGCATTGTGGGTTTTGAGCCACCCTAAAAATAGAAATCCATATAACTGATAAAATGATCTAGTCGCAAAAAGGGAACATTTTCATCTAAGTGCTTAATCTAAAAACTCCATAATTTCTAGAACTTTTTTTTAGCTAATGTATGCGTGTTCAGGTAGTTATTGCTGATGAATCACACTTTTTGAAGAATGCCCAGGCTAAACGAACCAATGCATCACTTCTTGCAATGCAGGTAAACCTCCATCAAGAAGGGAAAAAACTATATACATATAACCACTCTGTTTGTGTTTATCACATGGTGAGAAGTAAATGTTTAGCATACATCTATTGCTTATTGAATAAGTTGAGGAATTAAGTTTCTGTAAAAATTTTGAGTCAGTAGACTTTATATATAGTATGTACATGTATTATGTAATTCAATCCTATGACATAGCCTTAAGTTTGAGATTATTCGTTAGTGTCAAGTAATGCAAACAGAGTTTTGGCTGCTTAAATGTCTTTGTCCTGGACTCTAAACAGCATTTTATAGTCAAAATGAAATTGCAACGCAATTGATTGAGACTTAACCCCTTCTTCCATGCTCTAAGCTCCCATTTAAGATTCTTCATCCCGTTTAACTAAGGGAGTTTGAGTTTCATTGGTGATCTCACATTATTGCCTATTGTAGAAAGCCAAATATTTGATACTGCTTAGTGGAACCCCTGCTTTGTCAAGACCAATTGAGCTTTTTAAACAGGTGTCTTTGGACATGAAACTTTATATAGTTTGTTATTATATTCAACACTATTGTCTGCTGGCACTTCAATTGTTGTATTTCACAGCTGGAGGCCCTGTTTCCTGATGTTTACAAAAATGTTCACGAGTACGGTAACCGTTATTGCAAGGGTGTAAGTTTATTTCTATTTCCAGGCAACCTTTTTCATCCTTAGGCTGCTATTACTTTTTTTTTTAACTTCTGCATCAATGATTCTAGGGCTTTTTTGGAGTTTATCAAGGCGCCAGTAATCATCTATTTTAACTTAGGATCTATCTATTTCCTGTATTCATTCTTTTGGAACTAAATTTAGACTTTGTTTTTGTAACACCCCGGCCCTACGGGTTGGAAGTGGCTGCTCACGAGTGCCTTGTAAACTTCCCATGGGGTATTACAGTTTTACTTCTTTAAAACCAGTGGTAAACATTGACAATGTTCTGAAAAAGTAACTGAAATTTGAAAACTGGACCGGCCGTTGACCCGGACAAGCAACTAGATTAAGGGCTAACCGGTCAAACTGGTCAACTCAGGTCAATGACCCGGTCAACTATATTTTAAATAAAGACATTTTATACTTTACTAATGCAGATATCTTTAGTTAATAAATGAATTTAAATTTGTGTTCTTTGTCTTCTTAATCTAGTTTTCAATGTTATTGTTCATGTATTCTGTCATACCCAGGAGTACTTTCTATCTTTTATTATAATTAGTAGATATTTCTTGATTTTCTAGATTATAATGTGTTTACGCAACTCATATATCATAGAGACAATATGTACTCTAATGCATGGATTTGGTGACAAGGTGTTTGGTATGAGTAAAATATTGGCAGCTTGAGTGTTGGTGAGTTAAGTCTTATGTCTTGGGTTCGAATCCCACTCTCAACATTTTACTTTTTTATGTAGACAACTAAAGGGAATTTTTTGGCCAAACCCGTGGCCCAGATGGGTTGACCCGGTCCGCGGGGTCCATTGGGTTTTTAGGGTTGGGGCTGGTCAATGCAATGCCGGGTTGAAGTGTTGAACCAGACCAGATTGCTATCCATTTCATGGTCCGACTGGTTGAACCGGTCCGGTTCTAATAAAATTGCTTCCTGCCAAACAGACTTTATATTTTTTCCAAAACCCGTCCATACATGGCCAGATTTTATTTACCTTACTACAAAATGTCTTAACATGTTTAAAATAATTAGAAAACAAATGCTCCATGAAGTCACGCAATCACTTGTTCCATCATCCATGTTCAATAAGCTTAATGTTGACAAATTAAAACCAACCAAGTTTAATGACAATTGACATAGGCTATGTTTGGCAACACAAAAAGTACATCATATGACCAAAGTAAACTTATTTGACTGGAAGTCTCCTTTTAGGTGCGTTCTGTAAACATCTTTTCAGCTAACTTTTGGGAAAATCATTCATAAGAGTTGTTTAGAATAATTAGAGCAAATTATGGAAGAGAAGTACTAGTCGTGTCTGATTAGGGCAGATTACTTGGAATTTTTGACCAATCAATTTCTATCCATTGTGGGTTTTGAGCCACACCAAAAATAGAAATCGATACATACAAGTGATAAAATGATCTAGTTACTAAAAGGGAAAAATTTCATTGAAGTGCTTAATCTAAGAACTTATTAATTACTAGAAACTTTTTTAAAGCTAATGTATGTGTGTTCAGGTAGTTATTGCTGATGAATCACACTTTTTGAAGAATGCCGAAGCTAAACGAACCAATGCATCACTTCCTGTAATGCAGGTAAGCCTCCATCAAGAAGGAAAAAAAACTATTTACATATAACCAGTCTGTTTGTGTTTATCACATGGTGAGAAGTAAAGTGTTTAGCATACATCTATTGCTTTTTGAATAAGCTGAGGAATTTAGTTTCTGCACTTCCGTTGCATCTATACATGTACTCGTATTATGTAGCAAGTGCTGTAATCATTAGCGGGAGGTTAGACGTCTACTAATGTTCAAGCTCTGTAAACATTTTGAGCCAGAAGACTCTATATATAGTATGTAACTATGTACATGAATTATGTAACTCAATCCTATGACATAGCCTTAAGTTTGAGATTATTCGTTAGTGTCAAGTGATGCAAACAGAGTTTTGGCTGCTTAAATGTCTTTGTCCTGGACTCTATACTAAAAATAAGCATTTTAGAGTCAAAATGAAACTGCAATGCAATTGATTGAGTCTTAACCCCTTCCCCCATGCTGTAAGCTCCCATTGGAGATTCTTCATCCCATTAAACTAAGGGAGTTTGGTTTTCATTGGTGATCTCACATTATTGTCTATTGTAGAAAGCCAAATATTTGATACTGCTTAGTGGATCCCCGGCTTTGTCAAGACCAATTGAGCTTTTTAAACAGGTATCTTTGGACATGAAACTTTATATAGTTTGTTACTATATTCAACACTATTGTCTGCTGGCACTTCAACTGTTGTATTTCACAGCTGGAGGCCCTGTTTCCTGATGTTTACAAAAATGTTCACGAGTACGGTAACCGTTATTGCAAGGGTGTAAGTTTATTTCTATTTCCAGGTAACCTTTTTCATCCTTAGGCTGCTATTACTTTTTTTTTTAAACTTCTGCATCAATGATTCTAGGGCTTTTTTGGAGTTTATCAAGGCGCCAGTAATCACGACGAGCCGCACAACTTGATGAAAGCAACTGTAATGATTCGCAGGTTAAAAAAGGATGTCCTCCCACAGCTTCTTGTTAAGCGCAGACAACAGGTACTATTCATTATTCAAGTCTTAGTGATGATTTTTGTGCTTTAGTCAAAGGACAACATTCACTTTAGAGTGAATTTCCAAAAATGGTCCTTTCGAATAAGGTGTTTTCTCAAATTTTCCTCAAAGGACCATTTTGAAATTTACTTTTCTCTTTATTTTTACTATGTTCGTATTTACTATTATTTCTATATTTTTATTATTATAACAGAAGTTTGCTCTATTTCATATGACATGAGATATTCTTTGTCTGGTTTTCTAAGTTTGTGCTCACCTCAATTTCTAAAACTGATATGCAGGTTTTCTTAAACTTGGAAGGAAAGGAGATGAAGTCTATCAATGCTTTATTCCGTGAGGTAGTCAAAACTTGTGGAAGTATATGCTGCTTGAAAAGCGTTAACAAGAAAATTTCTCTACCCTTTAAAAATTTTAGTGGCAAAAATGCTTTGAAAAATGTGGCATTATTGTTTCGAAGTAAAGTTTAATTGTGTTTGTGATGAATCTTCAGCCTAAACTGTTTCTATAACAAGTTAATTGTTTTCTCTTCACTGCCACAAAGGTTATTTTCCTGTGAATTTTCTACTAAGTAGCCAATTTGACATCATTCTAATGTTGCTTTAGTGGCTCTTCTTCTTTTGGATTAACTACCAACACATTTGAGGTAATGGCAATTCCCTTTTCTGCATAGACTAATTACTTTAGAAATTTAACCATTTTAGCAAAATTTTGGAAAGTAAAAAAATACAGTGCATATTATGTGATCCAAAAAGATAATGAAAACTGCAGTTGTATTTATAGATTGAACATTTTCCAATCTTGCATCTTCTTTCCTGTAGTTGGAGCTTGTCAAAGGAAAAATTAAATCAAGCCAATCCAAGGATGATTATGAATCACTAAAGTTAACCGAGAAGAATCTTACAAATAAGGTATGTAGTTGCAGTAGACTATGTATGATTTATCAATTAATGAATCAAATCATAAGGTAACTGTATTTTCTTTTATTAAGCTTAGTTTAACTTAGTTGAACAAAAAATGAAATATAAGCGCTCAAAGTGTGATTCTCTTCTAGTGCTTAGCTTATTCATTCATTTTTTTGGGTATGTCAAACTCTTTGAAACTGCATACCTGTGTGTTTTGTTTTACTTGGACAGATTTTGACTTTATTGTATGATTACTCTTTTCTAGATATACATTGCTTCTGCAGAGGGCAAGATTCCATCGGTTTTGGATTACTTAGGAACGGTTGTTGAGGTACGTTGACCTTCTATACATTGTCCCCAGTTCAGCTGCACCGTTGGAAGGTTCTTTTTATATTAGTCAGGAAATGGAAAAGGTACTATATTGGTAGTTGTTTTTCACCGAACTAGTACTTTGTGGGAGTTTAGTTAGTTGAAAGCACTCATCTAGTTGAAATCTTGGTCAAAACAGTTATTTCCTGCTTTGAAATGTAATAAAATATTCAACCAAACATGCATGTGGAGGCAACAATCTCTTTAGGTCAACTACTTGTTACATGTAGTGTGTAGTGTTCTTGATATTCCTTGATGGCCTGACGAATGCATCATAGGACATTCTGGACATTAAAACATGCGTAAAGCTTTGGTTAATGCCATATGATATATGCAGAAAAAGAAAGTTGGTTGCATTCGCATTGATGGCAGTACTCCAGCAGCATCACGTCAAGCTTTGGTTACAGATTTTCAGGAGAAAGAATCAATAAAGGCTGCAGTGGTACTTTCTGTGCCTCCTTTACTTTTATTCAAAAATATTTTATCATGCTTATCTGCTTTCCCTATAATTATTTAATCAACCCTTAGGGACAATTGTGGTGCTTCCATACTAAGATATCTCCATGATTTGTAGATGCTTGATGGGGAAGAGAAGTCTCTAGAAGTATCAGCAGGTCACTCAAATGAAAGTCCTAGGAAACAGAAGACACTCAATTCCTTCATGAAGCGTTGCAGCACCCCGTCGTTGGATGATGAGTCAATGCCAAAATGCCCACAGCGTTAATCATCAATCAAAACATTTAGTGTTGGAACATTTGTTTTAGAAAGTACTGTTTCAAATCAACCCTTCACAATGCTGTATCTTCTATGGTCAGTTCGAGCATTATTTTTGGTATTATGGTGCCCCTCCTATTAGTTGAGCCTGCGCGTTTTCTCATTTCTTAAACAATGGGCAGTTTATTTTGGGAAATTCCTTGTTGAGAAATATGGAAAGACACGAGAAAACACTTCTTTGCCCACATTGACTAAAGATACACAAGATAGACAACTCCAAAGGGGGTGGGGTCGGTTTGGGTCGGGACAGGGTGGAGTGTTTATCGAGAGGGTTAGAGAACTGTTAATTTTATAAATGGGATATTGTGGGCCCTCCAATTAAGACCCATTTCAGAGAATGACAATTAGGTTCAATATTGAATCTTGCCCTAACATGAAAAAAAAGAGTTTGGTGCTAAATATATGAGCGTTTTGGCGGGTAAATTTAAGTAATGGTACTTGAACTTTCTCTTGAATTTCAAAGTGGTACTTGAACTTTAAATCTTTTCACAAAAATACCTGAACTTACATAATCATTTTACTAAAAATCCATTTACCCGTTTCCATGTTAACTCTCGGTCATTTAGGCTAAATTAGAATTTTATACTCTCTCCGTCCTATAATTAATTTCTCACTTTTCTTTTAGGGTTGTCCTAAAATTATCTTCTCATTTTCTAAAAAAAGGCAACTTTATGTTAGACAAGTGTGCAACTCTAGAGGGGGGGTGAATAGAGTTGTTTTCAAGAATGTGCGTTTTTCGCGTGTGTAAAGTAATAAAATCGCAGGAATAAATAAAGAGAGTAAGGGAAAGAAGAACACCGAGATTTATACTGGTTCACCACCTCGTGGCTAGTCCAGTCCTCCGAGAGACTCTCTCGAAAGTCCTACTAATCTTCAAGCTTCAACGGGTGCTTGAAAAACCGGTACAACTTGAGAACTTGAATCACACAAGCCTCACTTTCTTACAACAACAAGACTTGAGTCACACAAGTCTTAAGAACAACACTCAAATGAAATTGAGTTTACAACACAAGAATGAAAGCTCACACAATTGAGCAAAGTAGTGTTTAAAGAATCAGAGCTCTATGGATGACAACTTCTTTTAGCACTCAAAGAAAATATTTCTAACTCTCAAAAATAATGTTTTGATGAGGAAGATGAAGCAAGAAATGATAATAGCTCAATGGATATTTGGAGTGCTAGAGAGTGGTATGGAGAAGAAGGAGAATGAGGGTTTAAATAGGCTGAGTGAAAATAAATCCGTTGGAGCATGCTGAGAATATGCACCAGATAAAATTAATCGATTAATCAAAAGAGTTAAATCGATTACGGTACACAGAAGCGAAATAGCCTGAAAAGAAAACTGAATATAATCGATTAAATTAAGAGTTATAATCGATTAGGAGGTTCGGTTTGAACTAATCGATTAAAGGAAGAGAAATAATCAATTATCGTTCAAAAATGAGCAGCCCAACGAAAAGCTTATTAATCGCTTAAAAAGAAGCAACAAATCGATTAGGAGGTTCTGTCCAAGCTAATCGATTTTCATAAAAGAAAAAATCGATTAAGTATTATTTGCGCTGGATCTATCGATTATCCTAGAGAAAATAATCGATTAACAGGAAAATAATGCGCAAACACAAAGGGCCCAAGCCAAGTGCTTTTGGCTTCTAACTCCTTGTTTCGGACAAGGAGAATAAGGGAGACGCTCCCCCCAGTTCTCCCTCTTAGTTCAATGAATGAGAGCAAAGGAGAGAAGAGGTGTCCAAAAATTATTTTATGTGTCAAACTGTTGGGAATTGATTAATAATCAAAAGAAAAGAAAAGAATAAGGAAGAGGACAAAGAAGAAAAAAAAGAAAAAGAAAATAAAAAAAGAAAGAAAAGAAAAATCAAAAAGAAAAAAAAGGATCCTGACAAAGGGAAAGCAAAAGTACTCCATGAGTGGAGTTAAAAAGGTGGAAGTATGCATGTGATTAGGTTCTCTCCTGTAGCAAATTGATTGGGGCAAATAATTGTGCTTCTCCTTGCCCTTTAAAATGGAGAGGCTACGGTGTATTTGTGTAAGTGTGGGTTTTACACACCACCAAGGTAGAGAGAGAGCATGAGAGGAATTCTACACAAGAATATCATCGGGAAAATCCAAGGGGTCTTGGTGAGTGTGGGTGAGTGTAGGGAGTAACTGGTTTTAGTTACTCGGAAAAATATATCCGGGCATAGGATGTGGAAAGATCTGTTTACGAGTGTCTGGAATTTAGCCTTGTAAACAGGGGAGAGTTTTTTGTATATTGTCCTGAAGTAGTGGAAATATAATTTTTCTCTCATATATTCTTCTCGTGTTTGTTCTCTCATTTTTCTGTTGTTCTCAATATTTTTCGGTATCTTACGCGCTTAAAATCCCAACAATTGGTATCAGAGCTTGGTTGCGCTGGGCAGGAGGGATTTGTAAGCGGTAAAAGGAGAAATTTTGAGAACCTAGGGATTGGTCGGTTTTGGCCAGAAGGCGACCATGGGACTTCAAGAACAAAGTGGATGGCATGAGGACCGGGTAAGAAGCGGCATGTTGGCTTTGTGAAGTATGGTGCGGGAACAGGACTTAAAGAGATCGGTGGTCTAGCGGAGTGAAAAACTGCGGTTTATGTCTTGTGTCGAAAGTCTTCCCGACAATAAGAGGTCGGGCGGCGTGTTCCGCAGATGTTGCTGCGGCGGTGCATGATGGGCAGATCGAAAGAAGCTAATTGTTAGAGGGGTGGTCTCAGAGAATGTTAACAAAGGTGAGTTGTCATTTTTTTACCTCGGGGTGGAGGGTTAAAACTCTAAGGAGCTAAGGTTGTGGCGGTGATCTTGACGGGTTGGTTGAGATGGAGCCACAACCATGAGTCAAGACATGGTGGAGAGCTTGCGGTATTGAGCAAGATAGGGCATGAAATTTTTTTCAAGGTGGTAGTGATCTTGGTGGTTGGACCAAGGTGGAGCCACGAGGATTTTTTTTTCTTCTTTGAGATTGGCAGCGGTGATCTCGGTGGAGTAGACTGAGATGGCGCCAAGGATTTTTTTTATTTCGGAGTAGCGGTGATCTCACCGGAGAAGTGAGGTAGAGCTACAAAGTTTTTTGATTATTTAATCAAGGTGGAGTTTGTTGGGAATTGATTAATAATCAAAAGAAAAGAAAAGAATAAGGAAGAGGACAAAGAAGAAAAAAAAGAAAAAGAAAATAAAAAAAAAGAAAGAAAAGAAAAATCAAAAAGAAAAAAAAGATCCTGACAAAGGGAAAGCAAAAGTACTCCTGAGTGGAGTTAAAAAGATGGAAGTATGCATGTGATTAGGTTCTCTCCTGTAGCAAATTGATTGGGGCAAATAATTGTGCTTCTCCTTGCCCTTTAAAATGGAGAGGCTACGGTGTACTTGTGTAAGTGTGGGTTTTACACACCACCAAGGTAGAGAGAGAAGCATGAGAGGAATTCTACACAAGAATATCATCGGGAAAATCCAAGGGGTCTTGGTGAGTGTGGGTGAGTGTAGGGAGTAACTGGTTTTAGTTACTCGGAAAAATATATCCGGGCATAGGATGTGGAAAGATCTGTTTACGAGTGTCTGGAATTTAGCCTTGTAAACAAGGGAGAGTTTTTTGTATATTGTCCTGAAGTAGTGGAAATATAATTTTTCTCTCATATATTCTTCTTGTGTTTGTTCTCTCATTTTTCTGGTGTTCTCAATATTTTTCGTTATCTTACGCGCTTAAAATCCCAACACAAACAATGTACACGAAAAATATTTAAAGTAATTTTTTCTTACCAAGAAAAAATTATGTAATCTTAAAAAAATATTAGTGTTAAGAAATTTTGACACACTATTTTGAAACTGACTCGGTAGAAATATTTTTAGATAGAGAAAAAAAATAATTTTTCAACTGACTCAGAAAATAATAATTTTTATCCCTCAAGATTAATTTGTTTATGCAGAAGGTGTTGTCATCCTTACAAAAATTCCTAGACTCAATAAAAAATTTAAAAGTCTTCGGAGTCTTCACTTCACTTCAAAAAACTGCGTAGGGGCGAGCGTGAATTATCGCTGAAACTTCTTGATATATCTCTTTGCTTTTCTCGGTACGAAAAATAATTATCGCTGAAACTTCTTGTGGCTCTGTCGTCGTTGGCTCGTCCTCATACTCGTGACATGTCTCCTCCGATACCCCATGCGTAACACTCTCCCCTTCTTCAAAATTCACCTTGTCCTCAAGGTGAAGGTCAAGGAACAACTCCAGTAGCGGCTGCAGTGGCTCCCAAGAAGCATCGTCCAGATTACCATCGGTCCATTCCACGAGGCCCTGTACCTCAGCCCTGCCGTCCCGAAGCACTGTCCGCTGCGCATGCACACGTAGGGGAGTGGAGAGAGGATTTCCATGCACGAATTCAGCCGGAAGGGGCTGCCCCTGTAGGTCATCGGGCCTGCCCGTATAGGGTTTTAAATGCGACACATGGAACACGGGGTGTATTTGGGAGCCCGCCGGCAACTCCAATTTGTAAGCTGCGTTCCCCACCTTAGCCAAAACAGCAAATGGCCAATAATAGCGCCGAGCCAGCTTTTGTGAACGACGGACAGCGACCGAATGTTGCCGGTAAGGTTATAGCTTGAGCAACACGAGGTCCCCCACGTTGAAACTGATATCCTGGCGATGGCGGTCCGCTGCACTCCGCATGCGCTGTTGCGCAAGCTCCAGATTGCGTCGAAGGCGTCGCAAGAGTTCCGTCCGTTCGATCAAGAGTTGGTCCACCGCGGGTAAGGTGCACTCCCCCGGCTGATACGGCAGGAGCGAGGGCGGCTCACGACCATACACCGCTTTGAAAGGAGTCATGCCCAGGCCACTGTGGAAGCTTGTGTTCAATGCATATTCGGCCCAGGGCAAAAGGACTGTCCAGCGGAGTGGCGAATCTTGGGTAAAGGCACGCAGATATTGCTCGATCCCCCTATTCATAACCTCCGTCTGCCCATCAGTTTGCGGATGGAAAGCCGTGCTATGGTGGAGTGTGGTCCCACTGAGCTTCAATAAATGTTTCCAAAATTTACTCACAAAAACACGGTCACGATCGGACACAATTGTGCGGGGAAACCCATGCAACTTAACCACAATGTCAACAAACAGAAATGCCACGCGATGGGCATCGAAATCCGTAGGTAATGGCCCCAGATGCACATATTTAGATAACCGATCAACGACCACAAAAATTACCGTGAAACCCCGAGATGGTGGAAGGCCGACTATAAAATCCATGGAAACATCATCCCAAATTTGAGTTGGGATGGGCAGTGGTTGCAATAATCCGGCCGGTGGTTGTGTTGAATACTTCGACGTTTGGCACACGATGCAAGAAGCAATGTACTGTGTTATGTCTTTGCGCATGGTCGGCCAATAAAAAACCATCGCCAGCCGCTGGAAGGTGCGACGCACCCCAGAGTGGCCTGCCATGGGAGTTTCGTGATACTCGCGAAGGAGAGAGAGCCGTAGGGGGGACTGCACGCCGATGCAGAGGCGACGTCGGAAGTAGAGCAGCCCATCAGTCACTGTGTAATCTGGAGGCAAGGAACCTTGGCTATGAGCTTCATGCAATTTGATCAAGTCCGGCTGCTGTGTATTGTCACTGCGAATGGCGCCCAGAAGGTCGGGGACCACTTGGGACAAGGTGGCGAAGAAATGGCAGGCCGACAGTGGTTCATCCATGCGTGACAGTGCATCGGCCACTTTGTTGGAAGTGCCCGATTTATATTCGATGCGGAAGCGAAATCCCAATAATTTCCGGACATAAAACTGCTGGTCTGGAGTCTGGATAACCTGTTGCCACAAATCCTTCAAGCTTCGTTGGTCGGTGCGAATGACAAATTCACGACCCAACAAGTATTGGCGCCACTTCTGAACGGCTTCAACGATGGCATAGAGTTCCTTGTGATAGGTGGATGCTGAAGCCCGCCTTGGTCCCAATTTCTTGCTAAAAAATGCAACTGGTCGTTCTTCCTGGAGCAAGACCGCGCCAATACCCGTGTTGCTGGCATCCGTCTCAAGGACAAAAAGGATAGAAAAATCAGGTAAGCGCAATACCGGGGCAGCCGTCATGGCTGTTTTTAATGCCTCAAATGCTTGTTCGGCCTTTGGCGACCAAGTAAACGCATCCTTCTTTAAGAGATCAGTCAGTGGGGCGGCAATATGTGAGTAATGCCGTATGAATCTACGATAGTAGCCGGTGAGGCCGAGGAACCCGCGTAAATGCTTCAAGGTCCTAGGCTTAGGCCACTTAACCATGGCGTCAATTTTAGAAGAGTCGGCCTGCAACGTGCCGTGAGTGATAATATGCCCGAGATAGTCCACCGAAGTGCTACAAAAGGTGCATTTGGACTGTTTGATGTAGAAGCAGTGCCGAGCTAATAAGGTGAGCACCACGCGTAAGTGCTCGGCATGGTCATCAATTGAAGCACTGTAGATGAGGATGTCATCAAAGAAGACGATGACGAAGCGTCGTAAATACTGGCTGAACAACCGATTCATACATGCTTGAAAAGTGGATGGAGCATTGGTGAGGCCGAAGGGCATAACCAAAAATTCATAGTGACCCTCATGGGTCCGAAACGCCGTCTTATAGATGTCTTTATCGTGCATGCGGATTTGGTGGTAGCCGGCCCGTAGATCTAATTTAGAAAAACATCGAGCATGCACTAATTCGTCAAATAATTCATCGGCTGTCGGAATGGGGAAGTGATCCGGAACAGTGACTGCATTCAAAGCCCTGTAGTCCACGCAAAAATGATAAGTCCCATCCTTCTTCTTAGCTAACAGAACGGGGGAAGAAAATGGGCTCCGGCTGGGCTGGATGATACCCTGTGTCAACATTTCCCGCACCAAACGCTCGATTTCATCCTTCTGAAAATGTGGGTATCGATAAGGCCGGACATTGACTGGGGTCGACCCAGGTTGTAAGAAGATGCGATGGTCGACTGCCCGCCGCGGGGGAAGAGAATCTGGTGTCGAGAAAACTGAGGTGAAAGCCTCCAAAACTTGCTGTACGGCTGGCGGCAGGGGGGCTGGTGTTGGGATTTTAAGCGCGTAAGATACCGAAAAATATTGAGAACACCAGAAAAATGAAAGAACAAACACAAGAAGAATATATGAGAGAAAAAAAAATTATATTTCCACTACTTCAGGACAATATACAAAAAACTCTTCCCTGTTTACAAGGCTAAATTTCAGACACTCGTAAACAGATCTTTCCACATCCTATGCCCGGATATATTTTTCCGAGTAACTAAAACCAGTTACTCCCCACACTCACCAAGACCCCTTGGATTTTCCCGGTGGTATTCTTGTGTAGAATCCTCTTCTTTGTTTCTCTCTCTACCTTGGTGTGTTGAAAACCACACACACATCTACCTTAGTCTCACTCCTTTTAAAGCAACTCAAAGCCCCTCAAAATCACTCGTACATGTGTAATGCCTAGAAGATGCTTGTTGATTTGCACTAATCCAAAGAGAGAAACAAAAACCAAAAAAACTCTTCACATGCATGTTGTACATCCAAATGCATGTCACTATCCTTTTTCTTTTTTTTTTTATTTCTTTTTCTCTCTTCTTGAATATTTAATCAATATTTCCCAACACCTGGGAAGGTGCTGCTCCAGACTGAGTCCATGCCCAAATAAAAGACCTCTAGGTAGGCAGCTGGAACCCCCACGCTATGCATGGCGACAAAGGTTTGGAGATTCACCCCACGGGGCAGCATGGTGTCACCCCGTAGTAAGACTTTCTTGCCCTTCCAAGAGAACTCCATGGTAAGTTTGGCGTAATCATGCGCAATCAATGGTGTCACCACTGGACGCCCAACACAATCTGTGGTCCGTGAATATGCAACACATAAAGGTCGACAAGAAAAGTAGTGCCTTGCAAGTTCAAAGCAACGTTACCACATTGAGTGTCGCACATGAGGTAATCGCCGTTACCGACATAGACTCGAAATGGGGGCACGGTAGATATAGGAACCTGTAGTTTCGCTGCCACACTAGGATGAATGAAGTTATGTGTACTGCCCCCGTCAATTAGAATATGAATTGCATGAGTACATATCTGACCGGTTAGACGGAGTGAACGTGGAGTGGAAAGGCCCGTCAATGTCTGTAGGCTTGATATGTCCGCTGTGACACACGGTTCCTCCAACGTGGTGGGTTCGTCGATCTCGAGATCCGGAGCATCATCATCATCCCCGATGAGAAGTAACACCCGGCGACACCGGTGCCCCTTAGTCCAACGCTGATCGCAATTATAACATAATCCCTTCGCATCCTTTTCAAGTTTCTCTGCGCGCGTCAATCGGTGAATAGGAGTAGGGAAAACCTTGGTGGGATCGGTAGCTACTGCCGGCAGAGTGGTTGGCTGGCCGTGGGGAGCCTGTCCTGCTGGGGTCGTCCGAGGTGGTTGGCTGGTAGGCCAAGATGGGCCTCGTGATTGAACAGATCGGATGAGGGCCATGTGTTTTGCCTCAAGTTCCCGGGCCAACGCAAAGGAATCAGACAAGGTTTCCGGAGCGAGAAGAGATATTTCATGTTGCAAGTGTGGTTTAAGACCCGAGTGAAACACGGAGATCAAATTGGACTCCGAAGCATCCGTAACATGTTGCAAGACATTTTCAAACGCCGTTTGATACTCCATCACAGACGTCTGCCGGAGTTTAGCTAATTGTCCAAAGTAATCCATGTAATGAAGGGGGTCAAAGCATCGTTTAAATTGCACGACAAAGTCCGCCCAGCCCGAGAGCAAACCACCGTTCATACGCCAACGTAGCCAATCTGCCGCTGGTCCTTCTAGCATGAGAGCCACACAACGGAGGAGATCGCCGGTGGGGTTTCATAAAAAGCAAAGTATTCTTGCACCTTATATAGCCAACGGAGAGGATCAGTCCCATCGGTTTTAGGCGCCTCCAGTTTCGGTTTGGGCAGTCCACCATGAATGCCAGAGGGTGTAGCGTCGCTGGTGGGGGATCGGCCATGAACTCCGCCGAAGTTACCATGTGGTGGTGTCGGCAGAATTGGCCGATTAGCGAGGACCAGTGCCTCGAGCCGTGCAAATTTCGATTCCAAATCACGTTGCATTTGGTGCATCGTGTTTTGAAGTGCATCCATGCGCTCCTCGGGGGAAGTCGACGGGGAGCCAGAATCGGTTGACATAACGAGAGCACCAATTGATACGTTCTTGTACCAAGCGGGAGGTTTCGGCTAACCTCCAAACGCAAGATCTGAATAAAAGGGGAAACAGGGAAGAGGATAGTTGAAGGAGAAGAGAAGAGAAGGGAAGGAGCAGGAAGTGCCGGACGTGCGGCAAGAAGAACAGAAGGTTTAGGGTTTAGAACTATGTTATTAATAATCCACCTTATGTCAACATGAGCGTATAAATTATCTAAATTACTAAATTATCTAACATGTCGGTTCAAAAAAGGCGTCGAGGTAAAGAACCGAAAAGAAACCCTCGAAGGAGCTTATAATCCGCTCACCTAAGAAAATCTAAATTACAATAAGTTTGAATAAAATATTAATTGCATAATAAATATTAAACTGAATAGTCCTTCCGCCACACGGGTGGCCGTCTTTCCCTTGCACTGCGTCGTAGCCCTTCTTGTGGCTCTGTCGTCGTTGGCTCGTCCTCATACTCGTGACATGTCTCCTCCGATACCCCATGCGTAACACCTTTATAAATTTAAAAATTTTGATGATGTCATGCTTTTATTTTTATTTTTGTCTCAATGCAACTTAATATTCTTTAAATAAAATGAAGGATCGATTCTTTTGATTAACTATAAATTGAGAATCTACATAATTAACTATCAAGTCAAGTTTTTTAAAATCAAAATACAAATGACTCCTTATATATAATACGGAGTAGTGTATTCTAACACTTCTTAAAAAAATACTCATTACATTTAACTAGTTACTAGCATATAGATTTTGATAATTGAAATTAGATAGATGAAGCAATAATATAATTTTAACTAAAATTTAGAAGTTAAAGTTAGAGTGACCAGGATATGAAAGTTGGTATCTCGAAATCATAATGGAGTCTCGAATTTGAATAGCAAGGATATAAAGTTGAAAATTTATCACTTGGTGGTTCATATGACATTACCTCGTAATGTCGTGGGATGACCTGGGACGTTAAAGTACCTCGTTTGTAAAATTGACGATTTTTATTCCCGATAAACCTTCTTATTCTGCCACGATTTGGATATATATTCACCTCTTTCAGTTGCATCCCCAAGTTAATTTTGATTTAGAATCAATTTTGACTCCAAAAGCAGGGGAGGACAGATATTCTTTTTTTCCAAATCCAACGGGCCAAAACCGGAAACCAAACCATGAGATTAAAGTCGAAACAATTCAATTTTTTTTGGCAAATGCGAAGGAGAACATATTCGCCCGCCCCAAAGCAAAGCAGTCCCGACCACGAAAGGGCCCATCTTTATTCCGCAATTGGCCTCTTTTATTTTACTCCCTTACTTTTGTTTTTTTAGTAGTTTTGAATTCTGTTCATAAATCATTAAAAAATATTGATACTACGTGTAATATAATAAAATTTATTTTAAAATGTAATATTCATATTTCAAATTTACATTACCTTAAAAACAATCATCTAAAATAAGACCAAAACGTATATATTATCTCCATAATAAGACCATAAGAGTGGTATACTTTTATATCAAAATAGGATCATTGCATTGTAAAAAAATATATTTATATTATTGTATAGTTGACATTTTATAATGTATATTAATATATTATTATTTTGGTATTATTAATATTATACTCCCTCCGTTTGGAAAAACACTTCCCATTTGATTTGGGGGCAAAAATAAGGAAGTGTTAAATTATAGTTGATTTCTAATTTTGCCCCTGATGTGATGGGTAAAAGTAAGATGTGATGGATAGATTATTAGAGAAAAAGTATGATGTGATAGGTAGGGTATGAAAAAGTAAGGGTAAAAGTGGTTTTTTAATAGAAAGGGGAAGTGTTTTGTTGGAAGTGAAAAAAATGAAAGAGAAAGTATTTTTGAGAACGGAGGGAGTATGTCATATTTCAGAAAATCTTATTTTAATATTTTTTCTTTATTTTGATTGTAGTTTTTTTCTTTCTAAAACTAATTTATTTAAAGGTATATTTAAGAGACTGCAAAATAATCAAGACAAATTATTCCGTGTAAATTCATTTTATGAATCTTAATGTATAAAAATTCATACTCCGTATTTCACAGTAGTCACCAACCAATGAAACTAGGACAATAATTTGGGGAGGATACATTTCTTTTTTCCTTCTCTCTTCTTCCTCCTTTTTGACCGTTGCTTTTCCTCTCTCTTCCTCACCTTCCCCAAACCCCATTGTCTGCAAAAAAAAAAACAAATTTCCACTAAAAAACAGAGCTCCTCGCAGTAATAATGGAGCCAGCAGAGCCTGTGAACAAAGGTTCGCACTTCTTCTTCTTCTTCTTCTACTTCTTCTTATACGTCTTATTCTTGTTTNGTTAGGGAAACAGAAGGGATCCCTGATCTTGAAGAGGAGTCTGAAAATGAAGAAGAAAGTACATGCAGGGAAAGTGCAAGAGAAGATGAGAGACATAATAGGTTTCATCAGAAAGTCAATAAGGAAGAAGTCTTGGTGGAAGATGTTGATGATGAGAGTGATGATGATGATAGTGATGAAGTTGATGAACACATTGATACAGAGCATTGTGTTGGAGGGTTTAACTCAAATCCTAATCTTCACACTCAAGGATTGAATTCAAATGCCACCAATCATCCTTCTCAAGGAGTAAACTTGAGTTCAGCCAATCAGCATTTTCAAGGATTACACTCAAATGACAAACCTCATTTTCAAGGATCAAACTCAAATGTCAATCATCATTTTCAAGGGTCAAACTTGAATGACAACCTCCGTTTTCAAGGATCAAACTCAAATGCCAGCCGTCATTTTCAAAATTTAAACCCAAATGTCATCCCCCATCATTATCAAGGATCAAACTCGAATGCCAATCGCCATCATGTTCAAGGATTTAACACAAATCCAAATAATCATTATCATGAATTACACCCAAATGGCAACCGTTATTTTCAAGAATCGAACTCAAATGCCTATTGTGATTTTGAAGTACAAAGTTCAAATGCCGAGCGCCATGTTCAAGGAGTAAGGTATAATACCAATCACGGTACGGCAGTGGCTAGGGCACAAAACACAAGGCACCTCACTACTAAAGAGACAGCAGTTGCTGGTTGTGAACCGAAGAAGGAAATGTCAGGATTTACAGTTTATGTCAATAGAAGGCCAACAAGCATGGCAGAAGTTATTAAGGAACTTGAAGCCCAATTTACCATTGCCTGCAATTCAGCTAAAGAGGTGTCATCTATATTGGAGTCTATCAGGTCTCAGTATTCGCCCACATCAAATGACATGAAATGTAAGTTTACCCATGCTCATGCACTTTAATTACAACACCTCTTAATTTTTATCAGGTCTCAGCAGTTCATGTTAAAAACTTGTGAATTACTTTTACAAAAAACTACAATATATACACATATCCACTCTAAGTCTTGACATGTGATGAAATGCTTTTTTGTGCACTCTAAACATACAACATTTCTCAAATTATAATGGTAGAAAGGAATTACTTTGACGTACTTAATGTACTGCATACTCATTTTTTCTCCATATTTTAAACTATTTCCCATAATTTATTTCCCACAATATTTCTCACGTGTTTGCCAATCGATTAATCTTTTTTTCTTTTGCAGCCATGAAAATGCTGAACCCAATAGCTCTCATTCGCTCTGCGTCTTCAAGATCATCTTCATCTAGATTTTTGATCAATCCTTCCATTTTAAAAGATGAAAGTTATCAAAGCAACAGTGATATATCAGACGAGTCCTCTATGTTTTCAAGCAGCCACCAGTCAACCCTGGACAGATTATATATTTGGGAAAAGAAACTTTACCAAGAAGTTAGGGTATGCATCTCCAATCAATTACTTAATCACCATGTGCCACTTCAATGATAGTTTTATTCTTAGAATACATGAGTTTCATTGGAAAATGCTTTGGGGTCATAATGGTGATGGTATGTCGATCAAGGCATCAAGCAGATCTATTACCTACCATCACCACCATTACCCTAATCCCAATTAGTTGCGGGGCGGTATGATATCTTTATGGTCATTAGTGTCAAAATTTATTTAATACTGTAAATCCATAAAAGGCTATAATGTTGACAGTTTTGAATGCTAATCAGGCTGGTGAGCGAGTTCGCTTAACGTATGAGAAGAAATGTGCACAACTCAGAAATTTAGATGTGAGCGGGGCGGATCCTTCTACTATTGAAAAAACAAGAGCAACCATTAGGGATTTGCATACTCAGATAAAAATATCGATACACTCGGTTGAGTCCATCTCGAAAAGGATTGAATCTTTAAGGGATGATGAACTTCAGCCTCAGCTTTTACAGCTGGTGGAAGGGTATGTAAGTTGTTATGCTCCCTTTTCTTAAGTGCTATTCACCACTTACTCAAAGGTTTATTGATCATAGATGACTTTCTTCTTGTCTTCAAAGTATAACATAAACGTAAAATCCAATACGTGTAGAAGTTTCTATTCGTGAAATCAATAAAACCAAGCAATATCTGCCTTAATTTAAGAAATGTTCCCACTTTTTGTCCCATGACTACTACTTTTTCTACTTTTGGTGTGTGAACAACATGACTATGGATTCCTTGACACTTTTAGTGGGCCATAAAGGACCAAAATGGCAAAACTGAAAATGAAAAAATAGTAGTTGGGAATAGCCGGCTGAATTTTTCTTATATGTTTTATAGCTACTAAGACATGACAAGTTTATATATGCTTACATATTTGATTATATGTTTGCTCACTATATCTATTGCTCTATCTGCAATCACTACTAAAAGTAGCCATTCCATTGATTGATGGTGATAAACAGGCTAGGTAAAATGTGGAAGGTGATGGCGGAGTGCCACCATATACAGAAACGGACACTCGACGATGCTAAACTGTTACTAGCCAGCACACCGTCCACCAATTCAAGAACCAAGAAATACACAATAATGTCACAATCTGAGCCTCACCAGCTGGCTCGCTCAGCAGCCAACCTTGAGATGGAGCTGAGAAACTGGAGAGCTTGTTTTGAGTCATGGATCACTTCTCAACGGTCCTACTTGCAAGCATTGAAGGGATGGGTCTTGCGTTGCCTCAGCAAGGATTCTGGGAAGTCAAAGCCCGCACGCTCTCCTCCTCCCCCAGAGGGGGGCCCACCGATATTCAACGTGTGCATCCAGTGGTCAACACTGTTGGACAGCGTGAGAGAGCGTCCCGTGCTGGAAGGAATGGACTTCTTCGCGGCAGGGGTTGGTTCTTTATATGCACGCCAGATGAGAGACGACGCGCGGTGGAGCAGTGGTGGGTCAAGGCGGTTCAGCGGCGGTGACGCCACAAACAGCATGGACCTGGTGGAAGTTGGGAGAGTGGATGGTGGTGATGATGATGATGATGAGGGAGTCATGACAGCTGAGAAGATGGCTGAGGTTGCCATTAGAGTGCTTTGTGCTGGGATGTCATTTTCTGTGAGCTCACTCACAGAATTTGCTCTTGCATCAGCTGAAGGGTATGCAGATTTGATCAAGAACTGGGAAGAGAGAAATTCCAGTAGAAATGGAAACTCCTTCGCAGTATAACTTTAGGGTAGTTAATTATTATCTAGTGTCTTAATTGAGTAGGTACAGTGTAAATTATTGGAGTAAGTGTTTGGCGTAGACCGTAGCAGTTATTTAATCATAGGCTAAACTCCACGATTGGTCATTTAACTTTATCAATTGTGCACGATTGGTCCTTGAAGTTTTAAAAGTCCATAAATAGTCCTTCAACTTTATGAATTATGCATGATTGGTCCTTCAAGTTTTAAAAGTGCATAAATAGTCCTTCAAGTACACGTCAGCCTTCCACATGAGGTACTTTTGACAATAAATGCTAAAAGCTAAATGAAATACTAGCTCCATATAATACGAAGTAGTCGTACCTAATGTAATTTACTCATATTATATGAAACTGGTATTTTAGTGTAACTTTTAATATTTACTGTCAAAAGGACTTCATATGGAGGGTTGACGTGTACTTGAAGGACTACTGATAGACTTTTAAAACTTGAAGGACCAATGGTGCACAACTCATAAAGTTGAAGGACTATTTATGGACTTTTGAAACTTGAAGGACTAATCGTGCACAACAGATAAAGTTGAAGGACCAATGATGGATTTTAGCCTTTAATCATATAGAGCAATGGGTTCTTTAATTTTGTGTCATGGCAAAGACTATAGATAATGAAAGAAAAGCTCAATGTTTCTTCACAAGAAGAACACCTTCACATCATCTGAAAACAATTTCAACGCATTCACCGCGCTTTCACATTTTTCTTCACTCATTGGATGACTTCTACACCCGGCATCTTTCACACACGACGACGTATGGGGCAAAACACACATTAATGCCAATTTCTTTCGTGCGATGAGCAAGTTTGAGCAAATACTTGCAAGACCTGATCTGACATTTAGGGTATGTTCTCTTTAACTTATTCTTATAAAGAATTAGTTTAGACCAGATGATCAAACCGTATTCCAATCAGATCAGATTCGTTCAGATTAAGTGAAGAGAACAAGCCCATAATGCCACAAACTCACAGATTGATTTTTGTCTGAATTTATTTTTAAATCATTTCATATGAAAAAATGGTGTAGAATTTGAAAAAATTACATATCTAAAAACTAGATCAAACGATTTACAAAACAAGAGGTAACATGATCATATTATTTTATCAAATAAACAACAAAAGTATGCTAATAAAGTGAATGAAGTTTAACATTGTAAATAGTGAAAAATAAATTAATTTTTAGACAAAAGAAGTACTTAATTAGTTATTAATTACTTCGTAGTAGTTACTAATATTTTAACTCGTATTGTTTATCATGCTTAGGGTTTTAGTATGGGTCCAATAGCCCATTAGATCAATGAGGGTGACCTATACTCTTTTTATATTGTAATCATTCATCATTATTATTCAAGAAATCAATCAATAGAAATTATTCTATACCCTAAACCTTCCTTTTTTTTCTTCCTCACCCTCACTCTCTTCTCCTTCTATTTCTATCCTTTCTCAATCTTTCTTGAAGCTTGAATGTGATGGAAATCCTTCTATATCTGATATGTTTATCGTATCAGTACCACTTGGGCTTTGTTTCGGCATTGACGTGTTGTATTTTCAAAAAGAAAATGACATTGGCGGCCATGTAACTGGCTTGCTTCTTCGACCAAAATAAGGTCTTATTTGACTTCAAAGCGAGGAGCCAAAGACTAACTATAATTTCAAAAGCTAATTCATATTTCCCGTTGTTTAGCCCAAAAGAACTTTTTCTCGAAATGCAATTTTCAATGTTAATATTTGAAAAGAGATATTTAAAAAAATACTCCGTATTTTAGACAATTTAGATATACTTTAGCAATATGGGGATAGGATGACTAGGTAGGGTGTTAAGGCATGTGGTGTGGGGTGGCAAGTGACGGGCCATGTGGTGTGGATTCACGAGTGGATGGGGATGATGGGGCGGGGGTTGGGTGGATTAGGTGTGGGTGGGGGATAGGGCAGTGGTAGATTGGGTGTGGAGTGAGGGATAGGGCAGTGGTAGATTGGGTGTGGGGTGAGGGATAGGACGGGGATCGATAAGGCTTGGGGGTGAGTGAGAGGTCGGGGGTGGACAAGGCAAGGTGGTGGCGAACGAGAACGTAGAATGGGGCTAGAACAAGCAGGAGTGGATGTGGGTGGTAAAGTGGGAAAGGGTAGAATGAGATGAATTTGGTTTTTCTTCTTCCTCCATTTTGTCTTCTCGTTTTCTTTTCACTATCTTACTCTAGAGATAGTTGAAGACATCAGTAATTTTCTATCTCATCATTGAACCAAGCATCCAAGTCCATAACATACTCAAAATTTAGGAATAGGGGATTTATACATCACCCTTTGTTAGGTCAATTTTTGGGAGTCTTGTACTGTAAGCTGTGTATTAACTAGCTCCATAGCTAATCGATACATGTTTGGGAATGCTGTAAACTTGATGAAAAATTCACGGTAAATTATTGAAATAATCAACAAAAGAAGATAATCAAGTTCAATCAGTATGTAATGTTTCTTCAAATTAGATGAAGAACACCTTTGCATCAATTGAAAATAGTTTCAGCGCATTTACCACGCTATCACATTCTTCTTCACTCATTGGATGACTTCTACACCCTGCTTCTTTTAGACACGACAACGTATCGGGCAAAGCACGCCCTAATTCCAACTTTTTCACGCGAGGAGCAAGTTTGAGTAGATACTTGCAAGACTCGATCTGATACTTGGTGCCCACAAATTCACGGATTGTAATCCGCTCGAGACATTCATGATGGTATTCATCAATGGACTCTAGCTTCTCTGGTTCCTTGTCCTCTCGGGCACACAACTGCAATTTGTAACCGAAATTAGTCGTCACAGTCAAGATTTATAACTAGATATACAGTGTATATCAAGACATAGCACAAAGTGAATAGAAGAAGATCAAACAACATCACTCACCGATGTATAAAGATGACGGAGTAGAGGGCACAACTTCAGAAGTTGAACAATCTTAAACATGACATCTCCCTCTCTGGGATCCAACTCCACATTTAATATCCCAAGTCTTGAGAATGTAATCGTGCTTTCTGGCATGTGTTCAAGCTGTAAAACAAAAACGCACGGAGTATTGTTTATAGTGTGCATAAGAGAAACATAATGGCACTTGAAAACTCGATAGCAAACATCTACTTTTATGAGCCTACCCAGTTGGAACTACAGTCCAATCTCAAAGCTCTCAAATGAGGAACAAATTCGGGCAGCTTCAAAAACTTGTACCACAAGCCAATCTCAGGCATTGCATACTGGAGTATTTCCAAGTTAGGAACCCCAGTTAGTTCCAATGAAAGAGTCCTCTCACACACAAATCTCAAACTCTTGATCTTAAGACTAGCCAGTTCAATCTTTTTCAACCCGATGCAAAACAAAACCGAGACACGCTCTAGACTGGTGAGTGAGTTGAGGCTTAAATGGGGAGGCAATTCGCAAAATTCCATTTTCAAATGTTTGAGGTTTACTAAGGTTGATAGCGAACTCCATATACATTGAGAGTTCAAGCGAGTGTGATCAAATCTGAGGGCCTCTACGTGGCTGAATGGACGGAGAGAAAAAGTTTCTCCTGCATCACAGTTAGATGACAGAAGATGCTTTATAGGAATTTCACACAGAGTACCACACAATGCCCCTCTAGCACTGCAATGTTCACAATAAAACTGCAAGTCGATCGCTTTCACACCTAAATCAAGAGCAAATCTAATCCAATCCATGACATCAGAAGTGGACTCCCTCTTCAGGCAAAAATGAACAATGAACTTTCTTATACATCTGCCTCTATACGAAGCTAGGAATTGATACACAGCTTGAACAAATTTAACTTTGTATTCTGAACAAACACATTTCTTTTCTGAAGCTCCCTTGAGGTCACAGCTTTCCATTTCAAAAATGTTAGACAAATCAAAAACAAGTTTAGCCCGGGACAAAACAAGATGCCTCCATCTTGATGATACCAAACTTGCTCTAACTGCATCCCTAAGTTTTAATTTATTGAGAATACACTCAAGAATTTCATCGGGAAGTTGACTGATGTGGCCCTCAACTGTGGAGTGTACATCCTGAGATTGACACATATGAAACATGATGACATGTTAGCATACATAAAAATAAAATTAACACATCATAATTACTTCTTATGAACGTCGTAGGCCTCAATAATACATGTCGGTCCAATTTAACACATCATAATTACTTCTTTAACCTGTCATAATGGAAAAGTGGAGGATGATATATATATACCTGAAGTACTCGTCCCTCTTTTTCAAGATCAGCAACAATGTGGTTTGCAGTTTTGAAGGGCAAGTGCACCATAGCTGTTATAAGTTATTACATTTTGAAATCAGTTTATTAAAATTATGAATTCCAATAGGCATTAGCAGTAAGCACCGGAATACAATAATCTCAAATTAGTTCATTCATTATTTCCCATGTTTATCAATCCGCAAAGATTCCGGCACTAAATCCATTCGTTTTGCATCTGATCATTGAACCAACCATCCAAGTCCATAAAAACAACAATACTCATTGAAGTAAAAAACTCAACAACAAACCAAAAAAACAGGATTAAAATTTTCGGTATAAAAAATAATTACAAAAAAAAACATTTGAGAGAGACGTACCAGAAGGAGTCAGGGTTTTTTGGGAAGGACGATGGAAGAAATTTTGCTGCCTGTGACTCCCGGGAAATACAGAGTATCTAAACTCCTTGCCCGATCCTCCGTAAAGAAAAAGTTTATCCAGCGTTTTTTTGGTAAGAAATACTTTTTTTTCTATTTCAAATTTCAAGTGAATTACGTATTTTCTCTTTCAAATGAATAACACTTCCATAGCATATGATTATCATTATTTTTTCTTAGAATAAAAGACTTAGAGGTACAATCCTAATAAGAGATCTTGTTCAAGTAAGGTCGTATCGTCATTATTTTCCTCTTTCAAATGAATAACACTTTTTCTCAAAGAAACAATTTTCTAAATTAAACTGCGTGAGTTAAGATTGTGGGAGAGTATTATTTTCTCGGGTATTAAAGCAATACCATTGTAAATTTAAAGAAGGTAAAAACTCATACACAAATCTAGAGTTGCAAACAAACAACTCACAAAATTTACAAACTTGTCTGTTTAAAATTTTTCTAAAAATAAATTGCATTCAAATAATAAAAGATATTTTAATTTAAAATCCATAAAAGGCGAGTTTGTGATATATTTGTTTGTGACTCTAATATTTTCCTATATAAAATTGGGATTTATTTTCCAATCTAAAAGAAAAATTGTATTGTAAAATAAAGTCCGAAATATCACTCCCATACTAATTGTCAGAGTCATAGACTATATTCTATTACTTGATTTAAATGATTCTGATTTGATATAAATATAATTATATGTAAACTTGTTTATAATAATAAATATCTCTATCTCTATCTCTATATCTATATCTATATATATACAATGGTGAGAGCCGAAAATGAACAGTACTCCCGCCCAAATTTTTGGGTCGGGTCATTGTTTAATGGGCTCATTGTAAATTATGGTTATGAAGCCCATTAGTGAAGAGAGTAAACGGTGAAAAATAATTTAGACCAACGTAGTAGGTATGCTTCTCCGCCAGCGTATTACGGAAGCTTCACTATCAAGATCTCCACCAGCGTCTCATTCTTCTGTCTATCACACCCGCTACAGTGGGCTTCACAATCTTCATATTCGTTCAGTATCAGTGGAGAAAAAATATCCACCAGCGATAATGAAGGTATGTTAACGGCTGTCCGAACTCAGTGGAGGACGAACTCAAGGTTGTGGCTAGGTATGTTGGCGATATATGCTGACGAGAAAGACAGTTGGCCTAGCAAGATTTAAATGTAGGCAAAATTTCATCTCATACATGACACACATGTATGAATTAAAATGCCAATATAAATCCTATTTGCGTTAATATAAAATTTTTGGGGCATTCATACCTCTCATTTGAATTACTTGATGTCAAACTCACCGTAAAATTAAGTTAACAGTTACAGATCATCATTTCAAAATTTTAATTTATACTATGCAAAAGAATATAAAGTCATGAAAAATCTTTTATTTCGAGCACAATTAAACTTTAGAAAAATGAACATTCATTTGTTCAAAAATGAATATTCAGTTGCTCGAAAACAAGCATTCAATTGATCTAAATGAGTACAGAGTACTCGTCGCAGATGTACGTGAAACATTGTACCACCGGTTATACGGTATATATTGCGATTGACTAATGTGGTTATCTCAAATTCTAATAGGACTAACTTGATTCAGACATTTAAGTATTTGAACAAATAAAATTGTCTTTTATTTTATTAGACATTTCGTTTAGTTTTTAATTATATAGATTTTATTTTCAAATTTTCTGCTTACGTTCAAACAAATTAAATTAAAAATAATTTAAAACAAACATCAGTAAAAATAAAAATTTATAGGAACTAAATTTATTCATGGAATGGACAGAGAGAGTGCTATTATTATTACTCTGCATCTATACATTTGCTCCGATGTAATGTTTCTTCTTCAGAAGAAGAACACTTTCACATCATTTGAAAATGCTTTCAATGCATTCAGTGCCCTCTCACATCCTTCTTCACCCAGTACATGTCTTCTCCGCCCTACTTTTAGACGGGACAACAAATCGGGCAAAGCACGCCTTAATCCCAACCTTTTCACGCGAGGAGCAAGTTTGAGTAGATACTTACAAGACTCGATCTGATACTTGGTGCCCACAAATCCATGGATTGAAATCCACTCGAGACATTCATGATGGTATTCAACAACGGACTCTAGCTTCTCGGGTTCCTTGTCCTCTCGGACACACAGCTGCAATTTGTAACCAAAATCAGTCGTCACAGTCAAGATTTATAACTACCCGTATATATGTGCTCCTAGCTAGTATACAAGACACAACACAAAGTGAATGCAAGAAGATCAAACAACACGGCTCACCCATGTACTAAGATGACAGAGTAGAGGGCACGATTTTAGAAGTTGAACCGTCTGAGGCATCATATCACCCACTTGGGGATCCAATGCCAGCAGCATTAATGTCCTAAGTCTTGAGAATGTAGTTACGCTTTCGGGCATGTGCTCAATCTACAAAACAAAAAACATTTGGTTCATAGTGCATAAGAAAGAAAAAAAACAAAATTGCATTTGATAGCCAACATCAACTTTATCCGCTACCCTGTTGGAACTACTAGAGTCGACCCTCAAAGTTCTCAAACGAGGAAGAAGTCCGGGCAGCTTCAGAAAAATATGGTGCATAATGCTACCACCATGCACAGAGTAACAGAGCTCTTCCAAGTTAGGAACCCCAGATAGCTCCAACGAAACAATCCTCCGGCACAAAACATTCAAACTCTTAAGCTGAAGACTAGCCACGTCAATCTTTTCCAACATGGTGCAATAGAAAACCGAGACACCCTCTAGACTGGTCAGTGAGTTGAGGTTTAGATAGGAAGGCAATTGGCATTGTTTCATTTCCAACTGCTTAAGGTTTACTAAGCTTGATAGCAAAGTCTCCATACAGTGAGACTTCAAACATATGCGATGAAATATGAGGGCCTTTAGCTGGCTGAACGGACGGAGAATAAACGTTTCTCCTGCATCGCGGTTAGATGGCAGAAGATGCTTTAGAGGAATTTCGCAACGAGTACCACACAACGGCACTTTAGCTTTGCAGTGTTCACCACAAAGCTGCACTTCGAGCAGTTGCACACCTAAATCAAGAGCAAATCTAATCCAGTTTAAGACAGCAGAAGCAGAGTCCCTCTTCAGGCAAAAACAGACAACGAATTCATTTATGTGTGTGCCTCTATATGAAGCTATGAATTGATTTACAGCTTGTACGAATCGATCTTTGTATTCTAAACAAACACATTTCCTTCCCGAGGCTCCCTTCAGCCCACAGTTTTCCATTTCAAACATGCTAGGCAAATCAAAAACAAGGCGAGCCCGGGACAAAACAAGATGCCTCCATCTACATGATACCAAACTTGCTCTAACTGCATCCCTATGTTTTAATTTATTGAGAATACACTCAAGAACTTCATCGGGAAGTTGACTGATGTGGCCCCTAACAGTGGAGTGTACATCCTGAGATCGATACATATGAAACATGATGACATGTTAGCAAACAAAAAAATAAAATTATTATTTTCCCCAAAAAACAAAACAATCCATTAACACTTACGAACGTTGGATTCGCCAAAAACAAAATTTCATTTCATTAAAACTTTTGAAATTGAGAATGCTATATAAGCTGCATTCGCCCTATGTAATACATACCCCCAGAAATCTTTAAAGAAGAATCGTGTGGAGTAAAAAATCCCAACCAGATTCAGTTTATGGATATTCAAAAATGATATAGATCTTTAATGAAAACACCTTAAGGGAAATATGCATCTTTTTCATTAATTTCTCACGTTTGGAACTACAAAAAAATGTAACAAAATTGTTGTTATTGGTAGTTTTGCTCAAAATTTCATTTCATTAAAACATTTGAAATTGAGGATATTGTAAGCTGCATTCACACTATATTACATACCCCTGAAATCCTAAATGGACAATTGTATGGAGTAAAAAATCCTTAAATAATCTTCCCAGTTTCATTTTTTGGATATTCCGTAACAATCTAGGCTTTTCATTTGTCGCCATAAAATTTTTCTATTTTTATAATGAAAGTTCGCTTGTACCTTTAACACTTCAACAACCTACATATTTAAGGTGACACAGAAATTGATCTTCTCATGTGCAAATGACACAGAAATTTAAGGTGAACACATAACATAGATAGTTTTTCTTTCTCTTTATCTCCAAGCTATTTTGCCTTAAGAACAATTAGGGACAGAGTGAGTGTGTGACTTCGTAATGTATGTCATCCTCAGAATCTGGACATCCAATGCACCAGCATATGGACTCATCACATTATCAATGGGTTGAGCCATTTTTTTGTTCATTTTGGGTGGACAGGACAATTATGGGGACTGTTATTATAAAACTCACTACATCAATCAAATATCAAATCATTCTAACAGATTTGCACAACCAAAAAATGAAAAAGAAATAGAAATAAAAAGGTTAACGAGCAAACCTTGTTGTCAACCAGAACCCCAACGGCATATCCAGTTGAGGAAGGAGTTGGTTTCCATGCAGTTGAAAGAGTCTAAAAAGATCACTAAGATTTAGAATATACAAAAAGCAAAACATGAACCACGTACTTATGTTTTAAGATGGCCAAATACTATTTTCCAGTGAAGCGACATTTTAATATTAAAAAAGAGACCAAAGGCCCCCAATGCATCAAAACTTTTCATTTCAATGGCTTAATAAAAATAATTGAGGTCTTTAAATAGCTGAAAAAGATTCATTATTCAAAAAAAATGATTTTTTTCAGCATAAGATGTGGTTATGTGGCAGTTTGTGTTCTTAGAAAACCAAATCCATTCATGAAATGACAGCAAGGAGATTAATCTTGTTTAGGCTCTGTTACATGGGAATTGCAACACGTGCGATGGACACAAAGTTTGGGATACGTATGGACGCTGGGATATGCATTCTTTAATTTAGTCCTAGACTCCTAGCTAAGTTGATCCAAATAAGAAATAGCAGATGTTTTGATCTTACATTCATGGAACCACAGTTATGCCTCTCTATGGCATATGAAAAATGGTATGAAAAGTAATTGTGGATCATGAGCATAGTAGCATACGAAATGCAAACCTGCTTTGTCATCTTCACTCCAGGAGCAGCATCACTGTCATAATTTTCGGAATCAGTGTCAACTCTGAGGTCGACTTCAAATTCTGAACTCATAGGCTTCACTCTTACCTGTAAAAAACCATTCAGGCCAGTTCATTTATTGTCTTATTATTTGTCTCCTCAGCAACAACTATAAGGAATAGCAGAGAAATTGCTTTTCGAGCGAAATAGTATAGCTCAAGGAACCAGCCAAGGTTCCTACTCACCTCTTCACACTTTTCATCTAAGTCATACGGTCGCCATTTTGGCCTCAAGGGATATTGCAGTACATATAGCTGACAACATGCAAATCACAGTTTAATGGAATATTTTCTGAATTCCTATTGAAACAAAAAATAAACAGAATGCAGCCTTAGAATAATTATTACCTTAGTGTTTGAATCAATTGAGGGCTTAAGAAAAACATCAATCTCTCGAACAACTTCATCATCATTAGCTTCACTGTCCCCAGAAGCTTCACTCTCCACCGACTTCTCAGCTACATTGCATGTACTCCCTTCTTCTTGCTTGAGTTTTGTATTCTCCTGCTCAGCCTCCAATGGTGTACTCTGGGGCTTTTTTTAAGAGGAGTTATGTTCTTGTGTGAATAGTAAGAATAATGCTCCTACCCAAATAAACTTTCACTGTTCCAAATTTTAAAATCCTTTTATTTCTGTTTGATATAAAAACAATACAAAGTATATATCAAAGTAACACCAAAGATCTATAAAAATAAATGACAAAAATATATTTTATCCTATAAGATAATCAATAGGAACACACAAACAACACAAACAAATCAAAAGAAGATAGCACCAATAACAACCAAGTTTATTTGGAAAGGAAGGGTCAAGGGTGTAATATTGCATTCATGATCTTTAATTGTTGGGCTTCGATGGTCAAGGATATCAATTTAATACTTCCTCCATCTCAATTTAAATTGCCTGTTTAGATTTTAGATATCTAACTGAAATTATTTTCAAATTATTTTACATAAAAATGATATATAATTAAAAAATAAAAATTACATATTTAAAAACTATATTAAAAGATCTACAAAATTAGTGGTGACATGATTATATTATTTTATCAAATAACTAATGAAAATAAGAAAAGAAAGTGATTAAAGTTTGACTCTTTGAATATTAAATGGATGCTTAGTTTGGGATGGAGGGAGTAATAATAATAATCTAAATAATTTAATATGTGGATTAAAAAATTATTTCATACTCACCCTCCCAAATTCAGCTTCTTAGGTACTATTCATCATTTGTTTTGAGAACTTTTGATATAATTTTGTAATATGTAATTTAAATTTTTTTAATCCTATACCAATTTTCATTTACACTGAATTGAAAATAACGTTATCAAACATCGTAAAACTAACACCAATCTTATTTTGGAATGGAAGAAGTATGATATTCCATCCGTCCCTAAATCATTTACTCTTTATGCAAAATTGAATAAAAATACATGTTTTTTCAATTCATTTTATTTAAAGATTAGTATATTAATAAAAAATAGTAAAACTTACATATTCAAAAAGTACAACAAAAGCTCTACAAAACAAGAAATGACGAGAATATTTTATTTTTTCAGCCAATGAAAATATACAAATAAACAAAAAATTTGGTAATTTTTGAATAATAAAGTTTGTAAATCATTTAGGAATGGGGAGAGTATATGGGCAAAAAGTCCCTGTACAGCGATCCTCCAAATAGAATAAAAAATCAGCACCAATGCGTCATCGTTTTAAAATGTTACACACGCACCGTTCTAATGTTTATCCTAGTTTCCTTTTTTCATATACTCGGTAGTTTATTTAAATTTCTTACATTAAATTTTTAAAAAATGTTGTTTAAATTTTTTAAATAATGTTTTATTTGAAATATATGTAATTTTTTCATTTCATTTATTTTTTCATTTAAAACACACATAATTATAAATAAAAAAAGATACAAAAGATATTCATATAGAAAAATAATACATAATCTACTCACTTTCATTAAGGATAAAATAGACATTTATGTTATTTGTTAACTTTCCTTGCAAAAAAATGAGTTTGGAAATATTATTTTGAAACTTCAAACATATTTAAGTCAAATCAAATCAAAAATAGTTTAAAACTTTTAACAAAATCAAATCACTTCAAATCAAACCACAAAAAAATCATACTAAAAAATCATATCATTAAACTGTGGACTAATAGCATGAGTAAACCTCATGGGTTACAAAAGGAACGTTTAACCCTTTATATTTTTAAAAGTTATTTGTAAAATTCTTAGAGTTAAAATGATATTTATGCCCTTTCTTTTTCTCTATTTTAAGTTCCCTTCTTTTATTTTCATTTTCCCTTTAGTATACAAATAAATAAAATAAAATGCACGTTCTCTATCTCAAATTAAAAAAATTCATTTATTTATTTTTCAAAACAAAACTATTTTTTTAGAAAACATTATAAAAGAAATTTAAAATAAAAAATGAAATAAAATACATTTTTTATAATAAGTAAAAATAAAGTAAATAAAAAATTAGATACTCCATAACATATACTCACTCTATCTCAAGTTAAAAGTAAAATAGTTTTTTAGGAACTTTAATTAAGTGAAGAACAAAAAGATGAAATAAAATACGGAGAAAAAAAAACATTTTTGTTTACTTTTTATTCATTAATTTTTTCAATAATTTTAAAATATTTTTTTTTCAAAAAAACATAAATAAAACTTTTAAATTTGAGATTGAGGAATGTATATTTTATTTTATTTTATATATTTGTAGAATAAAAAATAAAATTAAAAACTAGAAATTCAAGATAGAAGAAAAGAAAAGACATAAATATCATTTTAACTCTAAAAATAAGTAAAAGTGGCTTACCGCATACGTGCTATATTTGGAAGCCAGAGAAACTTTACAAATAACTTTTGAAAGTAGAACAAATAACCATTTCCCCCATCATGATATTATTGTTTCAATTTGGTTTCACAAAGTAAAATAAAAAGGTGTTGAAAATCAAAAAATAAGTGATTAGAATTTGCTTCAAAGAAAGAAAAATTATAAGACACAGACAAAGAATCTTAAATAAATAGTCCGATCCTGTGAAAGTTGATTTATATCCCAACAAATCTGAGGTGAAAATAAAGCGGCATGATCACAAGGAATTATCCAATACTCCGCGTAAAAAGGAATGAAGAAATATCTATTTAAAAAAAAATAGTGATCTTATCCACATGAAATAATAGGTAGATAGATACGTACAAATAATATATTAGATATAAATGAAATGGATTCTCGATGCAAACAATTTCTATTTGTTTGCTATATGTTGCCCCTAATTTTCATACCAAAGTATGACCATGGACGTGTCATTTCTCATCGGCCAAATTACTCCACCATTCCATATTTCCATGAGCAAAATGCTAGACCCATCAAGTTTGACACCAAATCCAAGTGAAAGACTTGGTGTCGAACCTAATGTGATCCCCCATTCCTCATCGGGCAAATTACTCCACCATTCCATGAGCAAAATGTTATAGACCCATCAAGTTTGACACCAAAAGTCTGACACCAAATACAAGTGAAAGACTTGGTGTCGAACCTAATGTGACCCCATCATGACTCTTCCACAAGTGAATGAGTGGTATCTATGAACAAAGAAAAAAATGGGACACTAAAGTGGCATCACCATTTTAGTGTCCCCGTAGCGCATGAAAAAACACTAGCATAAGCTTGAGGTCACAATATAACTAATAAAAAAGAGTGGTGGGGGACCCCAAGATTTGCACACCAAATGTACACCAAGACAAATACAGACACACATAAACACTCAATGTCTATGCACACACATTAAGTTTCTGTGTGTATGTCTTTGACTTGGTATGCACTTGGTATGCAAAATCTTGGTATCCCAAGTATTTTCGAATAAAAGATTTGTATAATATACATACCACTTCATGCTCCTCAGGACTAGTTTCCATCAAGTTGGAATGGTCCTTGAGATTGCTCTGCACATAGTCTTCAACCTCGGCCTTCTTCCCATCGAAGTTCATATCTTGAATAAAAAAACAAAAAATATTATTATTATTACTAAAATCAACTATATATAAAAGCTGATGAGAAATCATACAATTTCACTTCTCAATTTTCCCTCTAAATTTCTGGATTCAATGGCTAATAATAAATTCATACACGTGGCAGCATCACATTAAATCTTACTCCAAAAACATACTCCCTCCGTCCCATAAAACATTTCCTGTTTCAAAAATGGCACCCCTTTAAAATGAGTAAGTTTAGTGTTATTTTTTAATTATGACTAATTTATTCTACACATCTCATCCCACTCTTTTATAAAGTAAAGGCAAAATTATAGAATAACACCAAAATTACTCATTTTAAGGGCGCGCCTTTTTTGAAACAGGAAATGTTTTATGGGACGGAGGGAGTATACAATAACTTCAAGACAAAACAAAAATATACTCACATTCTAAATTTAAGTACATGGCATCTCATTTACTGTATAAAACCAAGCAAGTACTTCACAAATGTACTAAAAATTGAACTGCCTCTGCCCCCATATGTAACATCACGCCAGAATGAACCTTGGAGTGCTCCAATTTATATTATTTGAATCTTCAGATTTCTCACATGGACTTGCTTGTACACATTTCAAGATAATGCCATTTCAAAGGCCATTTCAAGGCTGAGAAGAGCAATATGAAATTCCTGGATAATGCCCATTTCAAAGCAACTATAAAGCGGCTCAGAAATCTACTATAAAGGAGATAAGTTAATGTCATGGCTACTTTTGGCTGGGCACATAACCACGCCAAGTTATGTATTACTTCCTTAATTTTGGTAATCAAAATAAATTAAAACATATGAAATCAATCATCACAGCCTCTTTATTTTTCAAATTATTCCAGGCTTCACAGACCAAGTATACCATGTCTGCAAATGATGTATCACTGCCAGAATTAGAGCAGCCAGTATAATACCTCATTCCACACCAAATGATGTATTATAAAGAGGCTTATAAACTTAAATTTTCTTCTTTAAAACTCATCCTAATCCAATGGTTAATAATACTTTGGTGCACTCTGCAGCTACATATTAATTCTCACTTCAAAAACATATACAATTAATTCTGGACAAAAAAATACCCTAAGTAGGAATTTCAGTAAATGGCATCTCATTTACTATATAAAACCAAGCCAATGTAGTTCACAAATGTACCAAGAAATGAATTGCCACTGCCCCAGTTACATAACATCACGGCAGAATGAAACTGGCATCACCCCCATTTGAAATGAGGTATTATAAAGGGGCTCAGATTTTTACTTTTAATATACTCATTACAAGGAAATAGTTTATGATAACACCATGGCTGCTTCTGGCTAGGCCGTAGCCACGCCAAGATACGTTTTATTTCCTTAGTTACAAAAAACAAAATATGAGAAAACATATAAAAACAATCATCAAAGCCTCTTAATTATTACAGTAACTCTAGCTTCATACACAAAGCATACCATTGCCTTATAAAGAGGATGAAATCACTTAAGTAGACCAACTATAACTATTTTTAAAAGGGCAGAATCAGAGCATTCTGTATTCTTTGAAAATAACCATTTGAAGCTAATATAAAGAGGCTCAGATATTCGCTGATTATGTAATCATTTTTAGAAAAGGGTTATAATAAGGTCATGGCTGCTCCCGGGCGCCATGCCAAGATACGTATCAATTTCCTTAATTTCAATAATCAGAATATGAAAAAACTTATAAAACCAATCATCACAGCCTCTAAAGTCTACAAACTATTCCACCTTCATACACAATGTGTAACATGGCTGCAAAAATAGGATGAAATCACTTTATTACAAGACAAAGCATGGAACATGGTCCCTATAGCACATGACATACCCATTACAAGTGGTAGAGACCAAAACAGTCAGTAAACTGACTGGAAACTCCCATGTATTATAGCATTGGATTCCAACTATTTATACTCTTCCAGTCTTACACACCACACACAACTAAAACTTATTTTGTTAGCCTAAATCCCTGAATCTTCCCAGTAGAGTAGCCCTATAGATTAAAAAACCCACAGATCAAACCAAGTAATAGCACTAATCACTCATATTCTTATGAAAACTAAAGCAGCAGGGTTCCAAGTAATCATTCACCATTTTAACACAAATCAGAAAAAATTCTCAGAGCTGATAACCAAAATCCAATTATTGAAACAATCACAGTGAATAATTCTCGAAATTGGACAGATACTTCAGATTAGGAAGATAGTATGAAACCAGATTTGTTCGTTGCAGAAGAGAGTAAATCAACAGAGCGATGACTTTGGAGCAATTGATGGGAGAAAATAGAGTTGAACCAGTCCTAGAGAAGTAGGATTCGGATCATAATTCAAACCATTGACAGATTAACATCTTCATCGGAATATTGATGGCAAGGAGTTTCAAAATCACAATGAAAGTATCGAATTCGCCAAAACGATTCGGAATAAGGTAAAAACCTTATCACCTTTGTCTGCGTTTGCTCGCCTTCGTTGCCGATCGATATCGCACTTCCGTCTCCTCCGAACTCCTTAGCTCTGGTGTCTGGTCCTCTCGAAAATGAAGACACCTTGCTCTCTTTAATCCGAGCGTATCTTAGGGCTCAAGAAAACGGATTTTAATTAATTGACTTGGGCAGTTGGACCCAAATAAAATCCGCCCGGGCTCCGAGCTTTGGAGAGTTAAAGATTTAGGGTCCAGCCCGACCAGACGTATACTTGTTTCGGAATTGCAAGTTGTTCACTCCCATTTATTCTTTAATACTCCCTCCGTCCCGCTATATTCGTCTACTTTTGACTTTTGGAACTGTTCATCTAAGCACTTTGAATCATCAAATTCTCTCAATGTGTAAGCCTAAATATAGTCATGTGTGATCTTGTTTGATTTGTCTTAACATATAGATTATTACTATATAATTTCTATAATTTTTTAATATACAAATTACAAGAAAAAATGAATTAAAGAAGTGTATTGGATGGTGTGCAAAAATGAAAGTGGACAAATACTCTGGGACGGAGGTAGTATTAATACTACGGAGTAGTATTTATTACGGAGTATTATAAACAATTTTAAATTCAATTCTATTCATATCAAATCAGAATTAATCAGATCGGACAAATAAAAAGAATATAGCCTAAAATTGTGACAATTAGTATGGGAGTGAAATTCTGGCCTTTATTTTACGGTACAATTTTTAGGTTATACATTTAAATTAGAAAATGAATCCCAATTTTATATAGGAAAACTAGGTTTTTACCGCGTGCTTCGCACGGGCTCGTATAATCTCAAGTAAAATATTTCTATAAATTTGATATTCTATTAAAATGTAATGAAAATGGAAAAAGCGCAAGAGTGGTGCTTGAAAATGTATTATGAGTATGGGGCTCCAAATCGAATCAAGCTTGTATCAATATGCCAAAAAAATTGTTGAACCAATTATCAAACCAGAACAGAAAAGAAATAGAATAAAAGGGATTAAAAAAAGTCAAATACATCTGACCAAGTTAAATTCAAAACTTGTGGGAAACACCTAATGATACTCAAATACAGTTCATACTGCATTTTAAAATATAGTAATTAGTACGCATTGATGACATTTACTTTAAGGTCATTCACTAACAACTCTATCTCAACCCCTACATTATACAAAGCATGGGAAAAATACTACTCTGTAAACAGTAGAAAACCCAAACATTAGATACTGAAAGTTATATGTTGTTGCATTGAGATAATAAAATACAAAGTAAAAATATAGGTAATAGGCGTCCATTTAGAAATGTATGGATATTCCAACAACATTTGGATATGAATTTTAAGTATCGTTAGAAACTTCTAAATAAACTTGTGCTATGTGAACTTTATGCAGACATGTTTTTTTCTACTTCACTAAAAAGATAAGATATCATCTTACTTATTGTAGTGGCTGATAGCACACCTTCCCTCAACGTGTAATATAAAATAGATCCAACTAAAAATGGATTTGTTTTCATCAATTATTCTTCTTCAACATTTTAAAGTGTTCTTTTAAGTAATATTGAAACCTCAAAAGAATAAAATTCATCCATTTATGAGAAGATGCTACATGCTAAATTTATATAGATGGATGGAAGCAATTGGAGAAGTTAAACAACCTTCTTTATCAACCATATTTGAAGCTTTATAAACCACAAAAGACTTACCATACGATACAACTCTAAGTGAACCAAAGAAGTGTCTTGAGAGGAAGAAATAGCAACAACTTGTGTGAAGTTCATTGGGGCATTTTTCCGAACACTTGGTGTGCCTCGTCAATTCGTCATTCGGGAAGGAAGGCAACACAAATGTTGCATACGAATGCAAGTATATGGTATTTTTAACTTCAAGAAAAAATCCTAAAAAAACAAACCCAAAGAACAACAAACAATGAATCAAATTATTGCTTTTAAAAAAAATCTGTACAAACTCTGGAAAAAATAACATTTACAAAATTGAAGAACTTCATTAATAGAAATTTGATTTCAAAAGAAGAAGAAGAAGATAACAATCACAACTGGCGGCAGAGAGTGACTGGAGTTTTACCTGCGATGATGAGAGAAGTAGAAGTACACACATGACCTAATTGAGAAGCTTACCCGGGACGCCAGCAAGAAACTTACTCGACTGTCTGGCCAGAAAACTGAGTAAATGAAAATGCAGAACGACTGAAGCATGTCGATAAACCTAGGAAAAGAAACGGCTACAGAGAGGGAATGGTCATCATCATCATCGTAACGGCAAAGAAGGTGAGAGGATTGATTGGAAGCAAAAGAATTCTACTCCGGGTAGTTCTGAAAATGAAACTTCCACCTGTGCAATAATCTACTTGTCATCTGTCACGTCAAGCGCCACATGTCAACCCCACAGCTAATTAATCCTACTTTTTATATATATTAGTACTAGTATTCCTACCCGTGCCATGCACGGGTTTAAACGAATTTTGTCAATTCAAAAAATATTTTGCAATGTAATATTTTTACAAATTAGAGAAAATATATTTGTAACATGATCTTTTTAATAATATACATTAGCAACAAAGTAAAATAAATAATACTATACCAATTAATATTTTGTCACAAAATTGAAAGAGTACATGACAAAGTGCTTCTAATGATTCATGCCACCTACAATTAATTGGAATTTTGGCAAGTGTGTCCCCAATGATCGCCATCTTTTCGTGTGACAAAACATAAACATTAACTTTTCATATATCAAAGGTGCATTAAAATGATTAAAATACAAACAATATGCACTTTTTTAGATTCATATCTATGCTGAGCACAAACTCTTATAAGATGATACAAATGATGAAGCGACTTAAAATAAGTTACACATTTACACTATGTTTGGTTCACGAATTTGGTAGAAAGGAAAAGAATAAATTTTGGAGGAATAAACAAACTAATCTCTTATGAATAAGTCACTTCCTAAGTTTGAACTTGTCCTACGTTGCTACATCATGATGAAGAGGATTAAACAAAACTAATTTATAAGGCACAATATGTAAAACTAATCATTTGAATAAAACTAAGAAGATTATGAATAAATAAAAGTATTTACTCTTTTATAGCCAAATAATGTTCTGCTTTCACCCCATACAGAGATACTCACATGAGCAATCAATTTTTCTATTAGAACTATAACACTGAATAAACTCAAAAAGAAACAAAAAGTTCAAACAACAAATACATAAGATCATCTCATTACAAAATATAAGTTCCCTTAAGCTTTGAGTGTATCTTTGACATCATAAAGCAAATACTTTACATCAATATCTATCACAGATTTTTACATATATATGCATACAAAGTTACAAAATAAAACAATAAATACGTTAATCTTGGATTGATTACAAACCTAAATTGAAGGGAAAAAACATGGAGCAGCTCCGTCCGACCTTGGCCATTGCCGCTCATCCACCTTCGTTCAAAGCTACACTGGCCGAAAAACTGTTGGCGATAATCCAGATCCAAGGTTCTTCAATTCGAGCCTAGAACTAATCATAATCTCAAAACCGGATTTTGCTCGACTATACATAAATACAAAAAAAAGAAATTCAAAACAAACCTAATTTGCAGACTTTCCTTTGCGAAGATGGAAGACGAAACCGTGAGTTGACCGGCATCGGCGATACATCCGGGTTGACTGCCCTTGAAGAACTTCTTCTATTATAGCTACTCAATTCTTCATCATACCTAGGTCTAGTTTTGTCATCTGGGACTACATTCTTTGCATGTTCAGTGTTCCAAAAAGCACCTAAAGGGTCATTGGCCCCATGTATCCCAGGGTTATGAGACTGGTGAATTACGGTTTGTCTCTCCAGCAGAAGGGGGAGGTGGTGGTGGAGTTCTTCGAGGTACTGGATTTGTCGTGGTTGCTGTTTTTGGAGTACCTGAAATAGCAACTTTGTCAACATTACAAAATATTCTGACTCTTTAACCATTGATGTTTAATTGAGTACAAAGCTAAGCAGAAAGGTTCAGTTGAAGATGGATAATTAAAATAACTGGATTTCAAAAAATGTACCCCCTTTATCTTTAAATAAAGTTCCTACTTTCCTTTTATGCATGTATCCAAATCAAGTCATCTTCTTTATTTGGCAAAAAAATAAATTTACTACAATGTCCTGGTGGACCTTACCTACCATCATTTCTACTCCCAGCCACTAATCTAAAAGGAAATTTAGAAGTCAAATAGCAAGAAAAAATTGTATAAATTTATGCCAAGCCACACTTAGAGCCTGAATAAGCATGAGCAGCCAAATATAGTTAGTTATCAAACAACATGTAAGGTTCAAGTCATTGCAATATTACAACCAATTAAAGGTTAAACGTTAACTCAGCATTGCTTTGTTTAAAATTCCAATATCCAGCATCCTAAAATAATGATCTGATACAAAGAGGGGAACTCACCATCGTGCAAATCAGCCACTTGTTGCATCATTTCGGGAGCTCTATCAGGCAATGGTTGGTTTCTGTAGCCCATCGGGTAACAAATTGTTAGCACGGAATAACTTGTTACTTTCATGGGCAGCTTTGATCTACTAACTAACCTAAATTCATGCAGATGAATGTCCAATCAATCAAAGCGCTTGCTTGCGTGATATCTGGTCGGGCATCTGGCGAAGATTGTAACATATCCCGAATAAGGTCTACAACGGCGGTGATGTATTTTGGTAAATCTGGAATGCGGTAATTCCCGTTCAAGATATGTAGTTTTAATTCACCATCAAATGCAGGGGTAGATTGATTGAATTCTACTTAATTATTAGAACATACAATTGATTTTCAGGGGTAGATTATACTCCAGGATCTTAAAAAACATGCTAAATTATGCTCTAGGATCGACCAAACATCAAAATTCTGCCATGTAAGGTTAAAATTAATCGACATGCTTCGAAAAATTAAATTAGAATCGAAGTCAAAGAATCTATCAGCTTTGAAGAATCAGATTGAAATCAAAGGCTAAAGCGATGCGTTCACCGAAAACTTACCTGTCTTGAATAATTGATGAGCAAGGTCTTCCATATTCTTTTGATGGGCAATGAATTACCTTCTACGTCCGGGATTAAACAATGGGAATACGATCAATAACATGTATAAACAAACTTTTTAATCGAATAAGATTGACATGTGAATTTTGGAAATTTATCTAGTCTGAAATCAAGCAAATTTAGAGAACGTCCTTCGATGATGGAGTCCATGATGAATTCCTTTCCTTCGGTGATGAAATCAAGTGAAAAATACGTGTATTTTTGGAGAAGAATCAGGGATGAAGGATGCGATGGAGATTTACGAATGGATATGCAAAGAATAAGGAATCAGAAAAGCCTTCAACTGTAGAAAACATAAGAATGAGACGCGTGTAAACTGACGTGTCATTAAAATAAAACCCTTAAAGTGCCACATGTCATCATTCTACACATCAAACTCTTAAATTTTATATTAAAGGATTCATATAAATTGTTAATTAAAGATCCTGCAATCATCTAAAAGAACATAGTACCTTTATAATCATGGGAGTGAAGAATATATTGGGGAGGTTGAAGGCAATCAGATAGGTTTCTGTACTACTCAAGGTTTTCCATGGATGCATGTACTTCAAAGCAGCCACCAATGCTCTGCATATTCTCGAACTAATACATCAAAGACCACTGCCATCTAATTTCCTAAATCCAATTTGACCAAAATAAACAAAATCAATAAGTGTGAATTTCAAGAAGAAAGAGGAAACCGAAGACAATTACTTGAACATGCTAACGGTAAGCCACATAGGGGTGCTCCAAACAGTGTGGAAGCAGAACACATGTTGAATTTCAATGTGCCAACAGATTAAAAGATTCTAGAGAAAACACTACTTCTAGCGCTAAGAAGGCCAAGACGATTCAAGTCAAGTTGAGTATTATTCCTACTAACCCAAGCTAGGAAGCATACAAAGCACTTCTTGGACGAACATCCGCGAGCTGCTATTTTTAACCCTAGTTGAGAAGCAAACAACACACATTAAAAAAATTAAAACTAAACTCATCAAACTCAAGTAAGTGCAGACCTTTCTACCATTCAACTCATATTGGGCTATCATTCAATTCAAATCAAAAACCCCAAGTGGAAATAAACTCAAATTAGATTGTTCAATCATTCAAAATCGAATTCAGTTTTGTAAATACGAAAAATTTGATTTAAGTGAATGTGCACACCTTCAACCATACGACTTTGGTCCTTGGCTAGAATAAACACGAAGAGTAATTGAATAGCCTCGAAAATAGCAATAGTATAGCAGAATAGACTTTTTACCTGGTCGAAATCACCAATAAGTTCATAAGTGGATTGCAAAGTATTTTATAAGAATAAGTGGAAGAAAATAGCAAACATTCACGGTTTAAAGCTACAGGTTACTCCTTTATCACTTTGGTTACTTTTAACTCGGCCAAATTTGCACAAACCCATATCAATCCTGTCCAATATGAATACATGTATAACAATGATAAGAACTTAAGTGAACTGCATAAATGCAAATCTAGAAAAAAACTCTGCCAGACGTTTATTTGCCCATTTGCAAGCAGTAAGAAGTGATAGATGTATACCTATCAAGCTGAGAACTCAATTTGATACTTGAGTGTCATGTTTGGGTACACCTTCCTAGTGTTGTCATCTTCCACTGCTCCCATTTCCCTTCTCAGGCAATTCATCAAAACTTGATAGATGTATACCTGAAAGACGCATTGAGGGTCTAATATAAATGCATGAAATCATGGATATAGCACGGTAAAAATGAGCCAATTTATAATTATGGCATTGCACCATTCTTTTTAAATTGAAATCAGAAATATACCTAGTTTGACTAAAGTGTCTATTTTAAGCAAAACACCTAGAAATAGAACTCAAGAATCACCATCCTAGGAAGAGATGAACTAAAGTCAATGTTATTATGCTTTCATCTACCAAAATCCATGGAAAAATTAGCAATAATACCATTAATACCTGAATTGATGCCCCCTTGATTCCTCTAATTCTAACTTACCCATTTAGAGTTGGGTGAAAATCAATTATGTTCTTGATGACCATAAAATTGATAAATTTACCAACAACATCCTCATCAAGAGAACATAGAGAGAAGCCCTTGATTTGATGGAGAACAAATGGCTTGTTCTTGATACTGTGATACACACCTCCATGATGTTTGGGTTGTGTGAAGCTTACTTGCTCGACATACCAATTGCACTGCCGATCTCCAAGCGGGACAGTCCAACAGCTTAATTAGGGATACGAATATAAATTAGGTATGGATCACAATTTTTATTTTTTCAATTAATTGAAGAAAGAAAATTGGTATTAATCAACCCATGAGTTTATGACAAAAAGAATTTCCAGGTAAAAATTGGGGGAAAATTGGGGTAGCCAAATACATGAATGTCAGCAATTAGAAGCTTTAAATCCCACCAGCAAAAAATAAATCTTTCTGTTTGATGAACTAAAATAGTAATTGGAATCGAGACAGCAACAAAAAAATCCTAGAAATTGTTATATAATCCCAATCGAGATGGAGAAATAGCTTACCGAAATCAAAGCAGCGAGGAATTAGCCTTGAATCAGTTCTTTTGCATTCTAACCAAGAAAATGATCTAATCTGCAAGGATGTGGCCATATGCCTCATAGAAATGAAGGTACAAAATAGAATGACCATGTTAGAATCCATCGTTTTCGCGGAGTAATGTTCTTTTCCACTGAAAATACAATGAAAAAAGGCAACAAAATGGGAAGTATATTTTAAAAGATCAGAGTTCAATATCAAGCCGTATCAAAAAAGTGTATGAGGCTCAGATTTGAGTGCTGGGGATGATTGTTCCGAGTTCCGACACGCAATGGCTGCAGAGATGCTCGTTGGCATATTGGTATTAATCAACCCTAATCAACCCTAATTTCGGGTTAAAATTAGGGAAAAATTGGGGTAGCCGAAGAAGAAGAATGGAAAGGCGTATCGTAGTACCTGGGATTTCTTTCCTTCCGTAATCCAACGCAGCGAGGAATCAGGGATGAATGGCAATTCGTTTCCTTTCAGCGTGAAGATTTGCAGCGAGGAATAGCGAGGATTTCTTTCCTTCCGTGCGAAGAACTTTGGCGAGAGAAAGAATGGCAATTCGTTTCCTCTTTGGACGCGTGTCATCAAATTAAGAGCCTAAATTAATCCTACGTGTCATCAAATTAGGAGCCTATATTTGTCACGTGTCAAAATTCTAAGCTATCAACTCTCAAATATTATATTAAAGGACTAGTATTCCTACCCGTGCAATGCACGGGTTCAGATGAAATTTTTTTCTATTCTATAATGTGGATCTTTATTTTTAGTTGACATAACGTAGTATTATTTAAAGGTCAAATATAAATGACCTAGATTTGATGTTTTTTTACAAATTTATAATTTTTATCTTAGTATAAATTCAAAAATATATTAATACAAAAGTATTAGTGACCCAATGATTGTTTTTCCTAACATTAATTTAAAAAATCAAAATTACCGACCTTATAATTATATACTTCCTTTGTCCCTTAGTATTTTGTCAACTTTTGACTTTTTTTTGTCAAAATAGGAAAATTTTGACTTCTAATTAAATAAAAACAATATTATATATTGATACAAAATTAGTTTTATTAGATTTATTATATCATCCATTTTCAAAATATTATTTTATGTACTTAATATATGATATATATTTTATTTAATTGTAAGTCAAATACTAAAAACAATTAGTCGGAAAAGTCAAAACATAACAAATATTCTAGGACGGAGGTAGTAATTAAAAAATAAGATTCTTCTCATCCATATTCGCTATCTACCCCCCCCCCTCCCCATGATTATAAAAAGTTATTATTCATTCTTGCATTATTAAAAAACAAAATCTTAAATTAGTGATCGTAAATATCTACAATTAAAATTTTAATTTTAAAATATTAAGAATCAATTATTCTTCTCCCCCACATTTATTTTAAAAAACATTAAAATCTTAGTCTCTAATAATTTTGTCGGGATAGTATTCTGGTAGAGATATAAAATGTTCTATTAAAATACAAATAGTTACAGATTGGAAATTGTATTTTCTTTGATTTGATTGTAACCTGTAACTGAGTCTCGAACTTATTAGCTACTGCACTTCGGATTTTCTGCACAATTTTTCCTAAAATTTTGATTATCTTAAATCTTCATCGTCACAAATCTTTTCACGCTCCCATCCACACATTGATCTTCTTTGTCACAATCTTCTTTGCATAAATATTTTCCGTCTCATAAAATATTATCTTATAAAGTTTCCATGTACGATTGCATAAATGAAAACGTTAAAAGTAAGTTCTCTCTCATTCAAAATTTCTTAATTCTATTTATAAACATTTTGAATTGTAACACAATATAAGTATGTATTGAGTAAATTGTAAGTTACAATATAAGATTATTTTAATTAAAAATAGTAAACCAAGTTACCAAGATAAAGTACAAAAGTCCTATTAAATCTTTTTTCTAATTTGTTTATTTTAAAAATTCAATATTTTAAAATAGTCAAATTGTATGGAAATACTTTTATTTCATATCACAATTAGTCATCTTGCCATAAACAAAACTTCTATGTAAGATATGTATATATTTGGCTAATTTAAACATATTCTAATTGTATGAGAATAATATTAAATATAAACTAATCATTATTAAAATTGTACTTTTTTCCAAAAAAAAATTACTTTTTAAATCGGCACTAAGTTAAAATTTATACTGAAAAAATATATTTTAAATTAGCTAATCATCTATTTGTGTTCAACTTTTTCTTCTCTCTAAAAAATATTGTCAAACTCGACAATGAATATTGTTATCTAGTTTTTAAATATTATATTAAATGTATGTGAAATTAATATATAGGTGAAGTGTGTATCTTATCTACCATTATAAGTTACATTGTAAATGAAAAGAAAATTTTATTTGTTTTAAGTTCAGTAGTCAATATAATTTTTTGAAGAAATAATTAGATCAAAATTTTATTACTAAATGTTAAAAGTTCTCATTTTTAATTTGTTTTAGTTTGTTTTAATTTATTTTTATTTTTTTAAAAATGATTTAATGTCCTTTTTATTCAATTGACTAATTTTTTAGTTTAATTGGAGTCCGACCAAAATATTATGGTAAATTTACTGAAAATTTGGTTAGTTAAAAAAGAAACTTTTCTTTTTTCCATTAATAATTTTTATTTTGTGCAATACTATATTTATGTTTCACTAATTTTATTATGTTACATAATTTCTTTTATTATATCATAAATTAGTCAAAGGAAAGTTCAATTCAATTCTCTTGATGACATGGCTGATTAGGTGTCAAAAATAGTCCAGTCATCACGCCAAATGTCGCAATTCTGAGAGTTCAACTCTCAAATATTATATATAAAGGACTAGTATTTTTACCCGTGCAACGCACGGGGTCAAACAAAATTTTTATTGGTTCTAAAACTTTTTTAATGCAATATTTTTTCCCAGAATAAAGAAAATATATTTCCCTATGATTTTTAATACAATATACAAAATTTCCAAAGTAGAATAAACAATATTTGAGAAATTGAATGTGTATTCAACCAAGTTTTTGTTAATACCAAACCTTTTGAAATACTATCGAGTATATAATTTTTTTGATATAGTTGTAAGGGTATCATTGTCATCTAGAACCAATATTTTTAATTGTGTTTTTGTATTCGCTCATGGAACCATAACATAAAGCTGACCATGAGTGAATACCAACTTGGTTAAAAGTAATGCAAGAAATGACAATATTTGACTTTGACTTTTGTTGATAGTCATTGCAAAATATAAGACTATTGAGATTTGCCTTATAAATAATTTCAAGAGTAGTCCTAGATCAGATGATATCAATTTCATTTGGAGTATGTAAACTTTTTGCTGACTCGATTTCTTAAAACCACAATAGACCAACACCATTCTTTCACAGCTCTTCAAGGATTAATCGTGTAGCATTACATAATCCATATATATGGTTAATGTTTCTCAATATCAAAATCGTTACCCCATTTTTAAGATTATTTTGTAGTTTTGGATCCCCGAACATTTGATTTCATTTAAAATTTAATTGTTATTTAATTGTCATCAATAATTACATATGAATCGGCCTGACATGAAGAATCAAAACTCAGGCACACCATTTCATATTAGGGAATGCGGGATATGACAAATTCATTTACCATTTCAACAACCTCAAACATGGTCCAATAGTGCTCTATCCTAAAAAATGAATAAATTTTCATACTCTCCAATAGGTTCAATTAGGATAAGTGAAGTCCACTATACTCTTCACAAAATAATTTGTGTCTAGAATTAATAATTTATGTAGAATTTTAAGGTCTCATCAATCACTTGTCTAAGTTTTTCATCTCTAACTTTAATTATCTAATCAGAAAAAATTTGTGTGTCCCAATCTGAGATAGAGGACGTAGAAGAATGTAATATCATATTCTTCGCTAACATATAAATTTTAAAATACGACCATAATTTTAAAGAATAGATAATAGCACTCACAATTTTCTCTCTTGAAGTTTTGGGTAAAACAGGAAGAATTTTCCAAAAATCAGCTCTGAGTACAATTATTTTCCCTTCGAGTCCTACTTTTTCCCATCCGAATTCAACTATTTTCCCTCCAAATGGTTCATTTCTTGAGTTTTTATTAGAGAAATTCATTACATCTCTCATTTTGTGATCCAGCACCTTAAAAATAAATCTATTCATCATACATGCTCCATCCCATATTATTAGACTTACTTGTTGGATTAGTTCTGCTTTCGGACTCTGTTGATTGATGGCACACGTTATGTAATTGCCCTAAGAGATTGAGAATCTCAAGTGTAATGCCATTTACCCATGTCCTTCCCCCATGAAAAACTAAGGCTGTAATACCACTGGATGTGATGACATTCAAGACAATCTTATCATTTGACATTAGAGAAATAAACACTAATTTCCATAAAAAAATATTTTTTTCAGTTCGACTGTAACCATACCTAAAAAAGAAACATCCTCTTTCAGGTGTCACAACTTCCATTATCTCATCGTATAGATTGTGCTAATATTCATTCATTGTAGATAAGTATCTCACAAGATCATATGCAAACTTTTCCTTTTCACTTTTATTTCATAACCTGATCATAATTAATTATTTCATAAAAATGGATGAATCTAAATTACTTTTTTATGCAAAAATATACTCCATCCGTCCCTCATAGATCTTCTCATTAACCCTTTTTATTTGTCCACCATAGATCTTCTCATTGCCTTTTTTAACAATTAAAATATACTCCCTTCGTCTGGAAATATTCTTCTCGTGTTGACTTAGCATGCTTATTAAGGAATAGTTAAAAAAATGTAAAATTTTCAAAAATGCATTTACTATAAACTTGTAAATCTCCTTTTATTATTAAAAGTACTAAAAAAGTATATTTGTGATCAAATAGAAGGGTATTATTGAAATTTATCCTTAAAAAGTATACTAAAAAATGAAATGGGAAGAATATTTCCGGAAGGACCAAAAAGGAAAGTGGGAAGAATATTTCCGGACGGAGGGAGTATACCACAATTCCAACTATCCCCACTTACTTTATTTATTACACCTCACCTACCTCATTTAATACCTTCCACCTATTTTCATTAAGGGTATTATGGTAAACTTTCACATTTTTTCAACTCTTCTTAAAAACCACAAAAAGTCAAAATGAGAAGATCTTAAGGGGACGAAGGGAGTAATTCTAAATCCAAAAATAGAAAGTGTTCTTTACCCCCCCCCCCCCATAAATTGGTATGTTTAAATAATTCTAAAACCTTTATTCATTAACTGTCTCAGTTCGCTTTGCTGTCAAATGCTTGAATAATTATTTATATAAATATATAATGAATTGAAATATTAAAAATTAGACTATAATCTCAAAATAACAAATATGTTGGATAAAAAATTTCATTGGTCAAACATATCATTCAAAAAATGAACCGGGTGTTAAAAACAATAGAATTACTAATTCTTAAACTATGTTTACTCAATAAAAAATAAAATAAATTAATGTCAAATCAATACTCTATATGTTGATTAAAATTACCAACTCATTAAAATAATACTCCGTAAATA